CATCATACTAAGAACAATGGACTATATGAAGAGGACTTCTATCGAGCAAAATCTTTGGTTACAATACGTAGATGGCATCAACTGAATTCACATCAAAATTTAAAACCAGAACATTAAAAGAAAGAATGCTCACAAGAGAAGAGATTAGTTTATTGAACTTCTAAAGTAACCTACAAATTTTTTTTTTTTCGAGGCAAGAATGTTAGGGCTTGAACATGGGAACACGGGAAGCAACCCAACCACTTGGGCAACAACACTTGCCTCAAGTAACCTACATTTGAGACTCCAAAGAAGCAGCAAAGTGAAACCAAAGAGAGCATTGCTCAACCAAACTGTCTGGCTCTTGGGAGAGGACGAGAAAAAACAATGAAGGGGGAAAACAAGAAGAAAAAAGAAGAGGTCTAAAATGGTTAAAAATTGAGGCCATTTCAACCACTTTTAAGAATTTTCATCCATTTGATTTACCCTCACATTTTTCCATAAAACCAAACGTGACTATGAAAACAGACTTGGGTTGAAGTGGCCCTAGTCACATTCAAAAGTTTCCCTTTTCTTTTCAACATTTCCTCAGCAACCAAACAGACCATGGAAAATCTATAATTATCCCAACAGAAAAAAGAGAGAGAAGAGACGCATACCTATATGCTACCAGATTTAACTTCTGGGTTGTCCTTGTTGTACTTTGAGCAAATAGAAGACATTATTGCTTTTATTCTTCAAAAAGAAAAAAATGCGGACAAAATACACAATGCTTTCATTGAGAGTCAAACTCAAGACCTCCCGCTTACTAAACGGGTGCTCTAACCAACTGAGCTATGAAAGCTTGTGCTAGCACTTCGACAATGTTCTTATTAATCTGAGAAATGACTTGTCAATTTCTGCCGAAAATAAAGAACTAGTGCAGAAAATGAACATCATCTAAAATTGGATTTACTTTGACCATCTTGTTATAATAAAAATCATGGACAAAATGAAACTTCAATTTGTTATATTTTTGGTTCATTCATTACTTGGAATGCTTAAAGTGGGAATGAAATTTAAAATTAAAATGAATCCACTTGATAATTGGGTCTCACCTAGTTGATGTAATGTGCCGTAATCTAATAGACAAATAAATGTTTCTTTTCTTGTATTCACAGTTTCCAATTTTGTTTTCTACTTTAGTTTATTATATTATAGGGACAACACATTAGAATTTCATAACTTTCTTGTATATTAATATATTTTCTACACATTGTCATAAATAATAGTTTTACTTTGTTAATACAGTTGTAGATGATAACAAAACTTTACATATATATGGTGAATGGTTAGCTGAGAATTGGTCTTTGGACTTTGAAAATATTGATTGTCACGCAATTTTTATAACCGAGTGTACTTTTCACGTTTTAAATACGTTTTTACTGTGCATGCTTTTATTCTCGTTTTCACTATTTGTGATTTAATTTTGTCGATCTGTTTCGCGCTCACACTCTCAATTTCACTCTTAATTTCACTCTCGCTTTATGTGACTTTGCTCTGGACAATATTTTTGAAATTAAATTGTAAAGTAATAGATATTTAAAATAAAAATAAAAACTCACTTTGATTAAGAGTTTTTTTGGATTAGAAAAATACAAATATATATAAGAAGTTAAAAGGAAATATACACATCCACATCATGTCTGGAATGAAACTCTATATCTCAACCTCAATTTTTTTAATTATTTTATTTCATTTATTTTTATCCCGGTAATAAGGGAAGCCATACGACACTTACAAAGAAATCAAACATCACAAACAACTCCATAACTGATACATACCATACGCAAAACATGACTACCAAACCCCGACAAAAAACCCAAACCAACCCACCCAAAACGCAAGGCAACAGCCTTGGCTTCAACCCCATGCTTCAACTGATTTCGGAAAGTCTGGGATGGCTCGCACCGACAAGCAATGCAAGCTGAATAGGGAAAGATCGAGACGAAGAAGATTCAGAATAACATGATTCAGCGTTATGAGCACCAGACTTACCAGAGGAGTCTGAGGGATGCCATACCAAGGCATCATGAGAGACCTGCTCTGGTTGCATGGAAGCAACTGTTGGAATCACCATTGCTTTGCGCTATATCTCAACCTCTCCTTTAAGAATTTATGATTTTTTTTCTTTCAAAAAGTTAAACCAAACATCTATGAATATATACACTATCATGTCTTTGTTGCACACAAAAAAATAAAAAATAAAAAATAAAAACTACACTCTTTATGCAATTCAAGTTGAAATGAAGGAATTATAGAAAATAAGAAAAGGATTGGAATCCAACTTCATATGTTTACTGTGATCAAGTTGAGTGTTCGAAATATGCAATTCAAGTATGCATGATTTTTTTTTTTTTTTTTTTCATATTTTTTTTTAGGGTGAACTACATTAAACCCCCTTTTCCTATCTGTATTTTTCACTAAACCCCCCTTTTTCTACTTTTTTTGCCAAAAAACCCCCTTAACTATTAGAGAGGAGCAATTTAACTAACGGAAGTTAATTGAAAGGGAGTTGCTTGGATATTTAATTTCTCATTTTTTTTTGAGACAAAAATTCTTTACACCTATTTTAATATACCCCACATGTATATAAAGACATATAGATATTAGATTTTAGATACATCTGTGTATACACATAAATATTAGTGGCTCTAATTGTTTGAAAGCTTAGAAAAATCAATAATTCTAGTTAGATATATTTACACATCATTATAAAGACATACTATACATATAAATATATTTCAATGTACCATATAAATATAATAAAAAAATGATTTTGAAATATATATATATATATATATATATAGAAGAAGAAAACAAGTAGGTATAAATAATATAAAAAAGGAAAAAAAAAAAAAAGGCATTATTTCTCATAGTGTCCCTTTAATAAATCTATACAAAATGAAAATTAATAAAACCAAATAAATGAATGCACAATATAATTCTCAAATACATATATATATATATAGCAAATAAATTTCAAGAAAAAAAACCTAGATTTATATTGGTCTGAAGGCTAGATAGAAATGAAAATATGTTTAAATAATATTTAATGATACATATTATATATACCATTATATCATGATACAAATTATATATAATATTATAATGATAGATAAATAAAATAATTTGAACAAGAAGAAGAGTACATGTTGTTGCAATGGTGTAAGACATACGTCTAAGAGTGATAATGGAGTAGATATATATGTGGAGGTATATTAAAATAGGTACAATGACATTTGTGTCTCAAAAATATATGAGAAACTAAATGTCCAAATAACTCATTTTCAACTAACTTCCGTCAGTTAAATTACTCCCTCTAATAGTTAAGGGGGTTGTTTTGGAAAAAAAAATAATAAAAAAAAGGAATTTAGTGAAAAATACAAATAAAAAAGGAGGTTTAATGTAATTTACTTTTTGTTTTTTATTTCATTGTAAAGCAAAAGTCCTAGATCCAAAGGACCCTTTGGTGGGTTTTTAATTTCTAATTTTTGGATTTCCATATTGTGATGGATGAAGAGGTAGTACTAGTATATTAGATAAAAATAATCTTTCTGAGGAGGAAGAAGCTATCATGTTAATTTAGTTCTCAAAGTAGAGGATTGATGTCCCAGAGGCTTTAAGGTCCATGAAAACAAACACACATACACACAGAGCTTGAGAGAACTTAAATGTTTATCATGTAGTGCAGATATGGTTTCACACACCAATTAAAGCAAATAGTGATATAACTCACTAAAAATTTAACGGATAAAGTACAAAAAGAATCTTGAACTATTACCCTTTTATAAATAATTCCTGAATTAAAGATTGTCTCTCTAAATTACTGATTTGTTGCAATTAAGGATAAAACCCATCACAAAAGATTATTTTTCTCTTTCTTATTAAATTTGTCATTTTTATTATATTTTCTCTTATTTAAATATTAATTATACCATTTACCTTAATTTTATAATTAGTATCAATTGATTATAAAAATAGAAAAATAAATAGATTTGTAACTACCATTTTCTAAAATGATTGATAATAAAACTTATTATATTCACTTTAAAAAGTTTTAGTATAAAAAATAGCTTCTTTTTCATACAATATTCATGAAAAATTAATAAAATTACTTAAATAGAAAATATCTTCTTTTTTATGCAATACATTCATGAAAATTTTTCAAATTTTTTTATTTAAGTAATTAATTAAAAAAATTAAAGGTAAATTTATGCAAATTTAATGGAGTATATTTCATCAAATTAGTACGATTTTGTTTTCATAATTTATTTCAACGAAAAATACACCAAGTATAATTCAATAAGAAAATGTATTATGGTTATTTAATGAAAAATAGGCCAGGCAATGGGCCATTTTGCAACTAAATGTGATAGTTCAAGAATTTTATGCACAAAAAATATTTCGGATTATCTGTAAATTTGGACATAATTTAGGGTTTTTTTTTTTTTTTTTTTTTTTAAACTTTATCCAAATTTAAATGTTAAATAATGTGTGATACCATATCATCACTACGTAAAAATAAATATTAAATTTAGAAGTATGAAATTGGTACTTTGATGTTGCCAAACATAACATTAAGTTTCTCTCCTATTTAGTGTCTATAATTTATTGTCTTAAAATAGATTTCTTCATAGGTGGCCAAGTTATGGAAAATCGACCAACGAGAATAAAAAGGAAAGGTGGTCTAGATATTTTATAGTCTTCACTACATTTTAAATTTTGTGTCATTTTTTCCTAATTAGACAATCCAGTGCATTGTGTATATTTCATTTTTTTTCTAATTGGACAATCCAGTGCATTGTGTATATAGAAATAGCTTAACGCAAGTCAAAACTGACCAATTCCACTGCCAGTTCAAAATTGGACTTATGAGTTAAAAATTGGGTCATTTTTTATTTTATTTTTTTAGGACGATGGTGATCGAGTCAGAGCACCATATTTTTCACAAGGGAACGTAATGTGCTTTGACTCAAACACCACCATCCTAAAAAAAAATAAAAAAACTCTTAAAAAGATGACTAAAAAATTAGGTAACAAAGCACAATTAACGTTGCTAATATAATTACAACTAGTGTAGTGGTTTCCTCGTCCATGACGCACTCTTTGATTAGCTGGCCCACCACCCCAAAACCATAAAGTACAAAGCTTTCTTCAACGCACTAACGACGAGACTCGTCTCTTTTCCCACTGAGTCATCCCCAACTCTCTCTCTCTACAGACACACCATCGGCGGCAACCTAGCAGTCCCCTCCGATATCACCAGGTAACTTCTTTTCTCTTCCAAAGCATCAAAATCACCAACACACACAACACAAAACACTTACGGATCCAAAAACATACCAGATCCGTTTTCTCGGATCTCATTTCCATGGCAAGAAAATTACTGCTCATTCTAGGGTTTCTCTTGCATTGGTTATACTGCTGTTATTCGGATCCGGGTTCGACTTGTTCTAAAACCAACACTTCTCTGCTCAATTTCGAGTCTCAATTCATCATGCTTCAACACCAACTCAGAGGTGTGTTTGAGGTAATCGATGATTGCTCGTTTAGGGTTAGAGAATTTGATATGATCCAAGGGTCGGATGTGCACTGGTGGGGTGCAACCGGCGATACTTTTGATAACCTAACCAGGGGCTTTCTTATATCTGATCAGAGTTTGAATCAAACATATAAAAATGATAGCTTTGTTGTTAGTTTGATGAACAACGTGACTTGGGATCAGATCAGAGTCGTCGCCATTTGGGACATACCCATGGCGTCAGATTTCGGCCATGTTTTGCTGAAAACCCCAAGAAATGGGTCAGAAGATTCTGCCCCGCCACCTTCACAGACGGTTGGCACCGGTAATTTGAGTGCTTGGGTTTATGAGCAGCCCACGATGTTTGAGAATTGCAAGGAGTTGTCGTCGACATATAGGGTTAGGTGGACGTTGAGAGCAGATGATGATGTGATAGATATTGGGTTGGAGGCGGCAATGGGGATTCAGAATTATATGGCATTTGGGTGGGCGGATCCTAATGCATCTTCCAAGTTTATGGTTGGTGCCGATGTGGCCGTGACAGGGTTTTCAGAGGAGGGTATGCCGTTTGCCGATGATTATTTCATTACAAAGTACAGCGAGTGTTCCATAGACAAGGATGGTGGTGTTCATGGTGTTTGTCCTGACTCCATGTTCGAAGGCTCAGATCCTGTTGGTTTAGTGAACAATACGAAGTTGGTTTATGGGCACAGGAAAGATGGGGTTTCCTTTATACGGTATCAAAGGCCATTGAAGTCAGTTGACAAGAAGTATGATTTGCCCGTGAACCATACGGATAACATGATCGTTATTTGGGCTTTGGGGTTGATAAAGCCGGCTGATTCTATCACCCCTTATTATCTTCCACAAAATCATGGTGGGACTTATGGGCACTTGACTCTCAATGTCTCAAAGCATGTGAATGATTGCTTGGGGCCGTTGGATGCTGAAGATAAGGAGGATCAAGATATAGTCATTGCAGATGCAAATACACCACTTGTTGTTTCAACAGGTCCAGCATTGCATTACCCTAATCCCCCAAATCCTTCTAAAGTTTTATACATCAACAAGAAAGAAGCTCCTGTGTTGAGGGTTGAAAGGGGGGTTCAAGTGAAGTTTTCTATACAAGCTGGGCATGATGTTGCATTCTATGTAACTTCTGACCCGCTCGGTGGGAATGCAACTCTAAGAAATATGTCTGAGACTATTTATGTAGGGGGACCCAAAGCTGAAGGAGTTCAAGCCAGTCCTACGGAATTAGCCTGGACACCGAACCGGAATACCCCAGATCAAGTTTACTATCAGTCAGTATATGCACAGAAAATGGGTTGGAAGGTTCAAGTTGTTGATGGGGGCTTGCCGGATATGTACAATAGCAGTGTTATGTTGGATGACCAGCAAGTTACTCTTTTTTGGACAATGTCAGAAGATTCAATATCTATTGCAGCTCGGGGTGAAAAAAAGAGTGGTTATCTTGCAATTGGATTTGGCAGTGGAATGGTGAATAGCTACGTTTATGTGGGTTGGATTGATGATAATGGTAAAGGGGGTGTTAATACATACTGGATTGACGGAAAGGATGCTTCAAGTATACATCCTACGAATGAGAACTTGACCTTTGTAAGATGCAAATCAGAAAATGGCATAATCACTTTGGAGTTCACCCGTCCTCTGAATCCATCATGCAATCGAGATAATAGGAGGGAGTGTAACAATATTATTGAGGCTACAACTCCGCTAAAAGTTATCTGGGCTATGGGTGCTCAATGGTCGGGAGACCATTTGAGCGAGAGAAATATGCATTCCACTAGAAGCAGCAGACCTGTTCATGTGCTGCTTATGCGTGGTTCTGCAGAAGCAGAAGAGGAGTTACGGCCAGTGTTAGCTGTACATGGGTTCATGATGTTTCTTGCTTGGGGAATTTTGCTTCCTGGTGGAATATTGGCAGCTAGATACTTAAAACATGTGAAGGGTGATGGATGGTTCCAGATTCATGTTTACTTGCAGTACTCGGGACTAGCAATAGTCTTTCTTGGCTTTCTTTTTGCTGTTGCTGAGCTTCGGGGTTTATATTTTGGCTCATTACATGCAAAGTTTGGAATCATCGCTATATCTTTTGCTTGTGTACAACCAGTGAATGCGTACCTGAGACCTAAAAGACCTGCTAATGGGGAGGAGGTTTCCTCAAAAAGGCTTCTTTGGGAGTATATTCATGTTATTGTTGGCAGATGCGCCGTTGTTGCTGGAATTGCAGCTCTTTTTACTGGAATGAAGCATTTAGGAGATAGGTATGGTGGGATAAATGTTCAAGGACTCAACTGGGCTTTGATAATTTGGTTCTTGATTGGTGCTTTGACGGTCACGTATTTGGAGTATCGTGAGAAAACGCGGAGGAGGGATAGAATTTTTGGAAGAAGCAATTGGGTGTTGGGTAACAGTGAGGATGAGGATACTGATCTGTTGAGCCCAACTCGGGCATTTGCAGGAAAACAGTCCCATCCATCTGAAAGGATGGAAGTTCAGCTAGAACCTTTGAGCAGATAGAGATCTTTGTTCATTTATTTCATGATATAAACTCACTACTCAGTTTTGAAACTTACTTTTTCTGGAGATAGCAGGCTTGTATGTTTGCTTGAAAGATTCGAGTGTAAGGATTGAGATTAGCTTGTCAATCACTGTATACATCTCCAACCGTTCATTTTGGAGAGTAAATTTCCTACTACATGTATTTTGTATACTTCAATACATTTATTAACACGGTGGAAGTAGATCCCTCTCCCTCTCTATAGCGAAGGGAGCCTTTGTTTACAATATGAATTGATTTTTTTTTTGTTGGTCAGTTTTCTCATCGCGGTTTTCACTCTAGCTAGAAAAAATGAAAGCAGTGTTGCTTTCAATGTCCCTTAATTGAGGTGGTGTTTGGTTAGCTTTCTAGCTGTATTCTCCCACTGGTTAGTGTGAAAGCAAAATTATATTTTTAAAAATGGAAAATACATCCAAAATATATGGCAATCAATAGCTAGTTTTCAATGGAGTTGCCAAAATGTCTGTATTTTATTGATTCTTATATTTATACACGATTAACTTTCAAAATTAATCTACTTACCAAATGAATTTCAAAACTTGATGTTGATTTGTGTTTCACCACTAACAATGTGATACATTGTTCTCAGTTGATAAAACACCAGCGTTTGGTGAATAACTTTTGTGCTGGATGTTGAAGTTGCATATTTTTTTGCATTGTGTATTTGGGATTACTACATTTCTTCTTGTATTCAAGTATTTTGAAAACATATCATAGTTGATATTGTTATGGTCTCCTCATCCCGAGTTTTTTAGAAGGTCATAATCTTGTGTTGTGCCCTGTTAATGGAAGGTGTTGGAGGGATGGACTTGGTACAGACCAAATATAATTTCATCAAGTGCACAGAGTGGCGAACGAAGTGGCTCCCCAGTGTCCTCTGTTTTTTTTTTGGCAGGAAGCCTCCCACTGCACTCAGATTTGCTCATTGCTACTGAACTCTTTTACTGGAATTTTCAGGTAACCATTCATTTATGTACCTACATGGATAGCTCCTTTTAAAAGTTTCTCGAACTTGTCTAAACTCGAGGATTGTTATTTCCTTTTGTCATCTTAACTGTATGCTATTCCACTGTTTATTACGTTGACTATAGAAATCATCATTACATGAAAATTTTACATATTGATGGAAGTAAAATATCATCATTACATGAAGAATTTACATATCGATGGAAGAAAGTCAATCCATTTCCCATCTCTTACTTAGGGTTGCCTCTGGGAGCTCCTTCAAGGTGTGTGGGGGTTTGGGATCCAGTGGTGGATAGGTTTGAGAGGAGGTTGGCGGGCTGGAAGAAGCAGTATCTCTCCGAGGGAGGCCGGGTCACTCTGAGTAAGAGCACCCTCTCATGCCTTCCCACTTATTTTCTCTCTTTTTTTCAGATTCCCTCTTTAGTTGCGGAGAGGATTGAGAGATTGTAGCGAAATTTTCTGTGGGGGGGTAGAGGAGAAGAGTTCAAGTTTCATCTGGGTCGTTGGGAGCAGGTTTGCAGGCCGATTTGGAATGGAGGTTTGGGTCTTCGAAGACTGGTGCCTTTTACTAAGGCCTTCCTTGTGAAATGGTTGTGGAGGTTTGGTGTGGAAAGACACTGGCTTTGGAGGAGGGTCATGGCGAGTTGATTTGGGGAGATGAGAGGAGGGTGGAGTTCGCTGAAAGTGCATGGTCCTCGAGGGGTGGGGGTTTGGAATTCTATTCGGAAGGGGTGGGATGACTTTTCCAAACATGTTCGGTTTCGACTTAGGGATGGGAGGAGGATTAGTTTTTGGGAGGATGTGTGGTGTGGGGTGCTCCTCTCGCTCTCGCTTTATCTCAGCTTTTCAGGATTGCTTCTGATAGGCAAGCCATGGTGGTCAACTGTTATCATCTTGATAGTGGGAGACTGGTTCGGGATGTTCGATTCAGGCGATTGTTTCAGGACTGGGAGATTGAGGAGGCCATTCGTTTCTTGGAGTTGTTGTATCACCAAAGGATTGTGGTTGAGGATTCTAATGGTTGGTCTTGGGCTACTAACTCTCAAGAGCATTTTGAGGTGAGATCTTTTTTCAGGTGTCTCTCGGATAATCCTAGAGTTCGCTTTCCTTGGAAGTCTGTTTGGCGCTCAAAGGCTCCACTCAAGGTGGCTTTCTTTGCGTGGACCTCTGTTCTGGGAAGGATCTTAACCCAAGGATAACTTGAGAAGGAGAAATTAGGTGGTGGTCAATCGTTGCTATATGTGTCTTCGAGATGAGGAAACATTGAATCACCTTCTCATTCATTGCACCATGGCTAGAGAATGCTGGGCTTTTGATGATTGGATTGTTTGGGCTTCTCTAGGTTATGCCTGGACCCGTTAGAGGGTTAATTAAGGCTTGGAGAGGTTGCCTTGTGGGGGCCCACATTCAGGATATGCTTGGAGGGCTACGCCTCTCTGTGTGTGGTGTATTTGGCTTGAGAGGAATAGGAGATATTTTGATAGGAAGGAGATGTCGATTTCTATTCTTTCCACTCTTTTTTGTTGGGTTTCAGGTAGAGATCATCTCCGAAGGCTTAGAGGCCCTTTGTGGTCTTGTGTATTTCTCTTGTGTTCTGCTCCCCTTTTGAGCGCTTCTATACAATTTTACTTATCGAAGAAAAGCTTGCTACCAACTGTTTCATTATCTACTGTTTTGCTTCACTGCATGAATGGGAATTCGTTGAATGAATGTGAAACAGTGAATATATGGTAGGAAGAGGCAGGTGTAATACCTTATAAGTCAGGTTTTTGTGTGTGTGCATGTACATCTGGCGGATAGAAGGAAGCAACATTGTGAAACTAAACAGTAAACAAGGAAAATATAATTTATTATCTTTTATAATTTGTTGGGATCATTTTTGATGATGTTATTGCTTAATGGCATCATGCTTCTTGATTCATTTTTGACCTTGGGCCATGAACAGTGAAATCTAGTAAAGATAAAACGATAATCCAATGAGGTGATGACTGTTGCAGTAAAATTTGCAACATGTGCTAGTAATAAAGAGAGGAGCTCATAACCTTAGTGGGAAGCAGGACTTATATTTTGAAAACGAGGCGTCATGACCTAACGTGAAATAAACAGACAAATTTAGAATGCCCAAATAGGCTGAGGATCTCTAAAAGTTCACACGTAGTGTTTATTTGAATTGGTTAAACTGACTTTATTTGCAACTTTTATACACGAGAATTGGATTTTGACTTATTTCAGTCCTAGTTCAACATTAGTGTTGGTTGGTATCACTTTTATTACAAAATAAGAATAGTATGAGAATTTGAATCTCATATTTATCTCTATGTGACTTCCCTATTCTTCTTTTCAGAATTCAGCAGCCTTCTTGTTCTTGTTTAAATTGTCTGTTGTTTGTGTAGCCAGCATTGTTTCCAAATAGATTTCTTTTGCAGCCTTGAAATCCATTCTTCCATTGCGATGTTAAGTTTTGCACATGTTCAGGAATTTTCTGTTGTAGATTAGTGGAGGAGTTTGAATTGTTTTTAATTACATCAGTTGGGACTTTGATATGCTTGCAATGATTCAAGATTTGTAGGTGGAGGTGTCTTGGGAGGAGAGTGAACAAAATCATGGGCTGGTTTTGGTAAGTCAATTTCTAGAGTGGAGTACCTATACCTTACTGGGTAAACTTTTAATGAGGATTTTGGTTTGTGAGATATATCATCTTAATGACTAATGAGGGTCTTGCAAAACATAAACTGGTAGTACTTTGATTCCACATCTGAAGCTGTCTAGTGTAGTGCCTTTTTCAATAGTATTTTTGAGCAATCTCTTTATAAAGATGTCTGAGCCTCTTCTCATTCTTAACTGCATTGTACTCTAGTCAATTTTGGTAACTTTCAAACTATCTGGTTCACCTGCTTGCTTGAGATCTGTATTCCTGGGAAAGTGATGTATGTAGCACCTGATTAGATCAAAGTGATAGAGCATTGCATCATTTTTGTCCTAGAAGCACACTGAATCTTTGACTGTCTTGCAGATTCAATATGGGAAAGTTGATGATTTGTGCAGAATGTGGGAGATGATGACCTAATTCATCTGTGTTGAACGCAGACCAGACCAACAAGTGCAACGGTCATTAAGTGGTTATGAACCTTCTTGGTGGATTCCACCGCCTGAAAAGCTGTTCTTTTGCACAATTCATATTAAATTAGCTAATGTTGTGTTTGGGAGCACCGAACGTAGCTTTAAGGTTTTTATATGGATAAATGGAATGCATTCAAAATTCATCAAGCTGTTGTTTGCTTTTCACATATGAAATTCGTTTATATGTCTTGGATAATCCCATTGATTATCATAATCTTATTATATCCGTTGAAAGTGATTCTTGTTCTGATTCGGGTAAATTAGTTAAGCAAATTAAATGTAAGATTTTTATTCCGAGGAGACTTCTGATGAAAATTTCTTTCTTTAGGTATTCAGTTATTAGATACCCCAAATATGAAGCAGCTTGTGAGTTGTGAGACGTGACTATTTGGAACTAGTTAACCAAAATTTTGCTCAGAAATTTATGTTTATCAAGTTGGTGTCCAGTGTCCACTTTCATTCCCATTTTATTGTATATTTTCAACAGCCCACATATTTTGGCCCCCTCTCTCTTTTTATTTCTAATATTTCGAATATATCCAGAGAATATTTCATGATGAATTTAGATTGTTTCAAGTATAATTCAATGTGGCAGAGTGAACAAATTCATTTATATTGCATCTCTTTTGACCAAAGTGATTAACTTTGGTCGCAATTGACCAAATCCTCCAAGTTAAAAGTTGCTAAGGGCAGCTTAAATTGAAGCTTTCTTATTTTTACCATCAAGGTACTCAAAGCAAAGGTTGAGGTTAAAATGGAATCACAGAGTTATTATTGTATGACTTATCCGAGTTAGTCAGAAATAAGTTACACAATTTTTTTTAAATAAGTACTAATTTTAGACTCTAATACATTTTCGCTGGTTTAAATTTTACCACTCTTACACTAACCCGTTTCTCACTTTGTGTGGGAGTTCTAATTTCACATTTGGGCATTTGTGAAGCGTGTGATATTTACCTCACTAAAAAATATACGGAAAAAAATAAAATAAAATAAAATATTCAAAATAGAAGCTTCAAAGTTGACTCCTGATATGTGTTACGAAGTACCGATTTGTCCAAGAAAAACAATTGTTCAAAATTTATTTATTTATTGTTCTTTTTCTCCAGACCACGGCTTGTATTCGGTATATAAGTCAGCTCATCGATTTCTCAGTAGAGACAATGGCATTGGCGAACCTCCCACCGCCGTCGCCAACTACCACTGCCATCGTCACCGCCAATCACCACTTGCGCCGCCTCACTGAGATTTCTGCACTTTGGTCTACCACATGTCAGCTGAGCAGTCAGTCACATAAATTGATACCCACTTCGTTTTGACAACAAAAAGGAAGATTTCTAAAGTAGCCTCACCACCCAAATGATTGTTGAAACAGTGTTGAAACTAACATCATTGTTGAAACAGTCTCTAACTTTCAACCAAGCAAAGCAAATCCATGGACTACTACTCATCAATGGCCTTAAACATCTTGAACCCATATTAGTCCGTCAAATCCTCATCTCCTCAAGTAATTACTCTCACAGTGTCTCTCAGTATGCCCAACTAATCCTCCGTCATATGCAAGACCCAGATGTTTTTTCTGGGTCATGCACTATTCGATTCCTTTCTCAACATGGTCAGTTCAGAGAGGCTTTTGCTCTGTATGTGCAAATGCAGAGTTGGGGACCGGGTCCTAGCACATTTGCTGTCTCTTCTGCTCTCAAGGCATGTGCCAGGATTGTATACAAGATGGGTGGGATTTCAATTCATGCTCAAGTTCACAAATTTGGATTTTGTGGGGTTGTTTATGTGCAGACAGCTCTTGTCGATTTCTACTCGAAACTGGGGAATATGGATATTGCACGGAAGGTGTTTGATGAAATGGTTGGGAAAAATGTGGTTTCGTGGAATTCAATAATGTCCGGGTACGTGAAATCTGGGGATTTGGCTATGGCTCACAGTGTGTTTGATGAGATGCCGGAGAAGGATGTTATTTCGTGGAATTCAATGGTGTCAGGGTATGGGAGAGCAGGGGATATGGACCAGGCATTCCTTTTGTTCCGGCAGATGCCTGAGAGAAATCCGGCTTCCTGGAATGCAATGATTAGTGGGTATGTAGATTGTGGGAAGATAGAATTAGCTCGTAGTTTTTTCGATGCAATGCCTCAGAGAAATAATGTTTCTCAGATTACAATGATTTCTGGTTACTCAAAATGCGGGGATGTTGAGTCTGCTCATGAGCTCTTTGATCAGATGGGTCACAAAGATCTGCTCCTGTATAATGCCATGATAGCTTGCTTTTCTCAAAATAGCCAACCAAAGGAGGCCCTTCAACTATTCAATGAGATGCTCCATAATATTCAGCCAGATAAAATGACGTTGGCTAGTGTTATATCCGCTTGTTCTCAATTAGGAGATTTGAGATTGGGGTCTTGGATTGAATCATATATGAATCAGCGAGGAATTGGAATGGATGATCATTTGGCTACTGCTTTTATTGACTTCTATTCTAAGTGTGGAAGCATTGATAAAGCATATGAGCTTTTTCATGGCTTGAAAAAGAAAGATTTGGTTGCTTATACTGCAATGATTTTGGGGTGTGGCATAAATGGTAAGGCAAATAATGCCATCAAATTGTTTGAGGACATGATGGTTTCCCAAATATATCCAAATTTAGTTACATTCCTGGGGATACTGACTGCTTATAACCATGTTGGTTTGGTTGAAGAAGGCTACCAGTGCTTTAATTCAATGACGAACCATGGACTTGTGCCTACAGCTGATCATTATGGAATCATGGTTGATATGTTAGGCAGAGCAGGACGGTTGGAAGAAGCATACGAATTAATAAAGAGTATGCCCATGAAGCCTCACGCTGGTGTTTGGGGAGCATTGCTTCTCTCTTGCAATTTGCATAAAAATGTTGAGCTGGGAGAGATTGCAGCTAAGCATTGCTTTGAATTGGAGCCTGATACAATGGGTTATTATTCTCTTCTTGCCAATATTTATGCCTCTGTTGGGAGGTGGGATGATGCCAAGAGTTTGAGAAAGGTTGTGCAGGAAAAAGGATTGGCCAAGATACCTGGTTGTAGTTGGATGGAACAAAGTTGACACATAGACGAAATTAGGCATATACTGAAAGCTCTAAGGCCATGTACTACATAAGTTGATTGAATTACAACTTCATACATCTGACCTTTATGGGGGCAAGTTCTGTTCTTTTCTTTCCCTCCCCCCATTTGCCTCAGAGCAGTTTTCATGATTAAGTTCAGGTTGAATATGCCCTTTCGCCTGTCAAATAAGCCCATGGTGAAGAGATGGAGGTTAAAGGTTTGTGGGAGGATGCGATTTTTCTTCCTTTTCTATTGTGGTCAAATAACAGGACCGTACCAGATGAGCAGCTCAAGGTTAGTTGTCACATCTGTTCTCATCTTATGCTACTCATGCTAATGAAGCTTTTTCACTACAAGAAAAGGTAACAAGTAACAGTGGCAGTCATATGATGGTGGTCACTGTGAGTGCTGGCATTGCTTAATTATCTCGCAGTCATACATGAACGCCAGCTTTTTGGAAATTGTAGCCGTGATTTTGCAGGATGTGCCACATTAACCATTCAAAATTTCGACTGCCTAAACTGTGATTTAACCCGCTGCTCACTACCACCAGTGAAGAGTTGGGGATGGTAAATTTGCAACACCTTTTCCTAGGGTAGCCCACTCCATTTTTTTCCCATCAACAGCGTTCTTTTGTGTTGTTTCGCTCCAGAGACCAATTTTCTTCCCGTTAGGCCCATTATTTTTCCCAATTGCTAGCAGAAATTGCTGCAATTTCAAAGTCGTGCCATGGCTAACTGAAAGTACCTTCATTGGTGAGCAAGGTGAGAGGGTAAATACACACAATTCTGTATATTTCTCCATATTCAAGTGTAGAAACTTACCAACGGGTCAGTGGCCTAGCGGTATCAGCCTCTTACTTTCCAAAGGGAGGTTAGGAGTTCAAGTCTCAGAAGAAACGTGTGTGTGAGTACCACCAACTAGGAAAAAAAAAAAAAGTGTAGAAACTTAGATTTTCAGAAATTATTGAATGATCTTGGATTTGGTGGCTCAAAAATCGGGTGTCAGTTATTCAGAGATATGATTTTTTAAATTTAATTTATTATTTTTCAATTGACGGGTAAGAAACAACTTTTCCTTGGTTTGTTACATGAACTGTTCTTTATTGATTAAAACTTTCTTTATGCTTAGTGGGAAGGATCTGGACTATGAACACATTCGTAGTGAGGACTAGACTCTCTATAAGCAGATTATGAATTGATGATATTGCACAATTTGGTCAGCATATAACCAGATTATGTATTTCTGTCCAATGAAAATTCACAATATAGAGAGATTTGCATTTAGTTTGAGCTTTAGTTATTATTATAGTGAATTCTTCATCAATCAGATAGAACTAGTCAACTGTAGCTAACTAATTTGGCAACAACCATTGTTGCAAAACCAACACAGATGTTCTCCATTTGTCTTTAAATTTAGTAGATGCATATTAGGATATTGTATGACAACATTGTGTTTGCTCTTGGATTTGAAAATACTTACCTCTCATTAACTGTAAGTTTAGTCTTTAACTCTTTATATTTCATGAATTTTCTTTCATTTGACTTGCATCTGAATCACATTCTAATGGAACCAGGTAAACTGGTGTATACACTAATTGCTACACAGGCCCTGAGAACATATCCCATTTGTTTCTTCAATGCAGCTTCTTGACTAACATCATTGCTCCAGAAGTAGCATTTATTGATCAATTGGATCTCTCACCAATGTAAACAAGCTCTACCTTGCTAGCTCTGTATATTTTATCTGGCGTGAGCATAAGGATAGAATTTGCAGGGGCACTGTTCACATCCTTTGACGATTTTCAACTCTGACTTCATTCTGTTGAGAGCAAGGCCGCTGTCCGTGCACTTCAAGAACTGCAGAGGAGCCCATTGGACGAGTACTGCTACTTGGAATCTACATTCATTTGTTATTCAAAATCCCTAATTTCTCCTTGTTAGGTTTCATATTCATTTGGTTGGTTATTCTTGTAACGACTTTTTGAATGTGTTTTTGGGCCTTGGGCCCCGTCTGCGGGTTGATGCTTGTTCTTGTGCTATTGTAGCCTGGGGTTTTTCTTGCAGGGCCTGAGCCCAACTCCTCCTCTTTCCTGTCTATGAATATTTTTTTTAAAAAAAACATAATACATTCTCTATCCATAGCTGTATTATTAACTAGCTATGTACTTTAACAAGGCACAAAGTTTCCATGTAAAACCTTTATACTTGTAATTGATCCCAAGAAAAAAAGATGGTGTTACATGCAATGCAAAATTGTACTGTTATGGAATCCACTGCATACCTTGCTAATGTATCAGGAAGAGGATTATATTTTGTGCCACATAACAATCAGGTGAAAGGTAGAGATCACCTCTTGTAGGGTGTACTTCTCACAATTAGTGTGAACCTCACTCGATGTGGAGTAATCTTCACTCTCTTCCGTGCATATACGTCCTGTGGCACATGAGGGGATTCTAAGATGATTGTGAAGCACATGAGGGGATTCTAAGATGATTGTGAAGCGCGTGTTAATAATGTGTGAAAGACCTTGGAATAAACTTTTAATATGTTTGAAAAGAAAAAAACGATTCCTCAAAAGTTAAAATATTTAAACAAATGCTCACACATTGATAATATTGTCCTGAACTCCCCAAAGGAGAGATCAAATGAAACCCCCAGTGCCTAGGGATGGCAATTTGACCCGCCTCCGTAGTTACCTGCCCCATCCCGTCTCGTTTTTGGCGGTTTTGGAGGACTGTTTTGTTTATTTGGGTGGGGATGATTTGATGCAATAAAAACTGGCGCGAGTTTGGTGTGGGGGCGGGGGGAGGTCGGCTCGCACCGTTTAGATAGGCAAATTATTTAAGTACCCTTATTTCATTAATATATATATTTCTCACTATATATTAATTACTCCATATAACAATATTAAAGTAACAAATGAATTTTATTAAAAGGAAAATTGCAAGGGTGAATAATTAAAGATGAGAGAAAAAAAAAAAAAATAGCAAATCCATTTCAACAATAATAAAATTATGGTCTTAAACGGGGTGGGACGGATACTCGTGGGGGTAAAAATGTTAAACAGTTAGAAAAATGGGGTAGAAAGTTCTCTCGTTTTTACAGTTTTGGGCGGGAACGGGGGTGGAGCTTTTAAATGATTGCGGGGGCGGGAAATGATACACCAGCTCAAACCCGCTGCCGTTGCCATCCCTACTAGTGCCCAATGCCCATGGGTTAACCAAAAGATGGAAACTTCACTTGTTTCCATTTAAGTACATGACACTGTATGTACTGTCTGTACTCTATATGAGTGAGAGAATTGAGAAAGGATGGTGACAACAAATATTTAAACAATTTAGAATCTTTAGTTCGTTAATTACATTAACGGTCATTAGATATGAGATAAGATTTGTGAGATATTATTTTGTATTTGGCAATTATCGTAAACAAAATTAGTCCAAGTCAGAGTTGTGATTCAAGTTACTTGTAACGCAAATTAGCAAGATCGACGACGACTATGGAATTGGAAGGTTGTTCAAAGATGCCATAACTGAGATCATCACATAAAGGAAATAACAACACTTTAGGAAGCAATCTAAAGAGATTAGGACACGTTCTATACTTGGTATATTTTCCGAAAATTCCAAATCAATATTTTTACCAAGTTTCACTCTTAAGATTCAAGTCTGGTAAACTTGAACCGGTTCAGTCATCTTCAAAGTAGCTTCTATTCTTCACTACCATACTTGAACCGGTTCCCACTTTCTTGAACTGGTTCAAGACTTCATCATTGGCTTCGAAATTTATTCTACTATACTTGAATCGGTTTCCAAATTCCTGAATTGGTTCAAGAGTGTTGACAGCTTATGGAAAATTCAGTTTCTAGTTTTAGATTTCTTTCCTAGTTGGTCTAGAATTGTTCCAAGTCTTATGCACGAATTTTATCATATTTTTAGAGGGACTGGGATATTCTAAAACTATATATAAACTTTATCATACACATATGTTTATTTACGACTTTTGCATTATCAGTTTTATTATTCTTAAAAGCCTTGGGAAGATTTTTGTTTCAGAAATTCTTAGAGAATTTGCTGTTTGTCTTTCTAGAACACATACACATAAACACATAGTGAGTTTAGAGTGTGGTGTTTGAATTATTATACAGTTGCATCTACATCGATTAGACAAAAGGTAATCTACTTTTACATCAAATCCAGAAGTTGAATAGAAGTAAAAACGATCGCACTTCGAAAGGATTAGAGTATTCGAGGAGTGTTGTTTGATCTACTTGCTACTCTTCTATAAAGATCAAGCATAAAAACCTGAGGTCAAGTTGCTGTTAGACGGAGAGTCGCAAAGCTAAAGAATTGTCAGCAGTTGGTGTTTGGTAGAATGATAGGGTGTAAGACAGAGTCAAAGTTCAGTGTACTTTGTTTTAAGCATAGTGGATCGGTTTATTTTGTACTGCACAGTTCACGAGGTTTTTCCCGCGCAAATAGTTGACATATTTTATCAATTGTGATTTCCTCGCTAAAATCTTGATCTAATCTCTAACTTTACTTTGCTTTATTTTATTGCATGATATTAATTTATTAATTAATTGCTAAAGTAAAAAAAGTTAGATACACACAAAATCTATTTTTAAATACTTAAAACTTTTTAAGTATTTACTCACAATATTTACTTCCTTGGGTAAGAAGAAAGCCAAGAAACACGGACACTTAATGCACCTACAACTCGGTGAGAGCTAAAAGGCCTTACTGCAGGGGTCATGTCCTACGATGGTTTCACTATATAAATTAATTAAACTCCTCCAAAAAATTCCCTATAAAAAACAGAGCTTTCACTATATAAATTAATTAAACTCCTCCAAAAAATTCCCTATAAAAAACAGAGCTTTCACCATATAAATTAATTAAACTCCTCCCAAAAATTGCCTTCATTAATTAAAACAGAGGTTTCCCTGTATAACTATATTGAGTTAAATTAAAAATCAAAATTATGACCCTTTCATTTTGAATTTTAATTCACATAAACATGTTTCAACTGAAGGAAAAAAAATTTCTTTGTATATTATATCGTACCTAAATTTTTTCTTGCCGACAAAAAAATGTTGCAGCATATATATATGGTAAATTAAAATCATGTACTCATTATCATGAATATATATATATGTATAGTGAAATAAAATTTCTAAAAGGATTCTAGTTACTATATATAGAAATAATAAATCTCCCTTTGATCAATTAGAATATTTAGTTAATTAATTACATTAATGGTCATTAGATATGACATAGGATTTGCTTCTTGGGTAAGAAATGTCAGCAATTACCATCTTTTCTTTTCTGTTTCTTCTGTGTTCTACTCTGCAGCTAATTGTTGTAGGAAACTAAATGTTTTATACTACTGCAATACAAATTCAGGGGCGTGTTCAACTCCAAATGAATCATTATTCGATTTTTGTGGAATGAAAAGTCACAAAGTTTGAACATTCTACAATTGACTTTAGATCAACCATGGAAAGTTTAAACATTATAATACATGAAAGACATAAATTATAAAATTCACTCCTGTCTATTCATGCTCCAACATGTAATCTTTACACGATTAAAAAAAAGAAAAGAAAAAAAGAATAAGAAGAATTAGAAATTATTAGATCAAAACTAATCGGAATAAATTTCTTAACTTCTTTGGTTTGAAGTCATATGGCTATGGTCTATCACTCTTAATAAGAATCCTTAGACCTTCACAACACTACCAACCCACATATTGAATTACTTGAGAGAATCTTTAGTTCATTAATTACATTAACGGTCATTAGATTTGAGATAAGATTTACTTCCCTATTTTTATTTATTTATTTATTTATTTTTGCCAAGGTTACTTTTGGTCTTACTTAATTACTCTTAATAAGAATCCTTAGACCTTCACAACACTACCAACTCACGTATTGAATTACTTGAGAGAATCAAACTTAAAATTAGGTATTTTAACAAACGCATCATAATATATATATATATATATATATATATATATATAGATATATGGTTTCAGTGAAGGCAATAGGACAACGCACATTATATATAAGTTCTATTTTCTCAAATACAAATATATATAGAAGTATTAAATTTCTCTTTGATCAATTTAAATTTAGAATCTTTAGTTCATTAATTAAAGGGTTAAATGCAAAAAACCCCCCTAAACTATTGGGGGTTTTGCAACTAACCCCCTTGAATTAAAAAAAAACCCCTAAACTATGAATTTGTTGCAATTTGCCCACTCAGGCCACCGGAAAAGTAAAAAGACGAAACTGCCCTTCCAAGTTTGTTATATACTCAATACAACCAAACCCGAAGCCACACACACTGCAGAAATGGAAGAAGTGGCGGCAGCACTGGTGGAGATCTCTTTGCAATTCGTCAACCGTGGATGTGGAACAGAGCATCGATCATCGTCGTAGCCGCCGAGCGAGAGAGAGAGGGGTGAAGGTGATGGCAGCCGGCGCGTGAGAGAGAGCTCGGCGGTGTGGGTTGTGGATATTTCGGCTGGTAGAGAGCTCGATGGTGTAGAACAGCGACTAGGGAAGTCGCGATTCTGGCACAAATCAGAGAATGGCACAGCGGCGACGGATTTGGCGTTGGCGACAACGGCTTTTGTGCGCCGGTGATTGATAGAACAGCGGGCAAGATGGGTTGTGGATGAACTTCGGCAGTGCTCGGATGGGGGCGAGACGGTGACGGCAAGCTTTCGCAGCGGTGGGCGACGGGTTGTGGAGAGGACTCAGCCGCAATGAGGTGCTTCACGGTGTGATGGCAGCAGCGAGCTTGCCTTCGGATGATGGTGGTGGTAGTGGAGCCACCACTAATGACGACTCATGGTGCAATTAATTTGGGGTGATTACCAGTGACGACTCGTGTGTATATCTATATATATATAAATATATCGATTGAGCTTTGGTGTTTCAGTACGAATTACTGTATTTGAATTGATTCAATTGGGAAATTGTTTGAGAAACGTTTGTGGCTACGGCGGTGATGGCAGTGGCTGGACTGGTTCACTATGAATTATTTAAATTTTTTAAAATTGTGGTTCAATTGTTTCGAATGGTGGTGGCAGTGGGATTTTAGTGTGATTTGGGTTAAACGGCTTTCGGTGTGGAAGATGGGCTTGTCGGTGTTGAACCACGAACGCCTGCTGTTGAAGATGGTGAACAGTTATAGGGCGTGTTTGGGTATGCTATGGGGTCTATGGAAATTAAGGGCATTTTAGTCCTTTCATGCATATAAGGGCAGTATGGTCTTTTAAAATAAGTAAATTATTTTTAACGGCCAAAACTTGCCGGATTTTTGCCGGATGGAGTTATCTGAAACAAAATTGAATAGTTCAGGGGGTTAGTTGCAACTTTTGTAGTTTAGGGGGGTTAATTGCAACTTTGTCAATAGTTCAGGGGGGTTTTTTGCATTTAACCCTTAATTAAATTAACAGTCATTAGATTTGAGATAAGATTTACTTCCTTCTGGTATTTATTTATTTATTGCGTCATAATATATATATATATATAAACGCACAATATATATAAGTTGTATTTCTCATGCGATTAGATGGCCTCGACTAAGGCATCAAAACCTCCTTTTAACGCCTCAACAGGGAATTCACTAGCGATCGAGAAGATGGGCATAGAGTCGTTTTCTTGCTGTATTGCGCATTTGTGAATCCTGGCCTTTCTTCCATGTCTGAGTCATAATACAGATATATATAGAAGTAAGAAATCTCTCTCTTTGATCAATTTAGAATCTTTAGTTCATTAATTACATTAACGGTCATTAGATTTGAGATAAGATTTACTTCCTTGGGTAAGAAGAAAGCCAACCCATATAAGGATTGCTTCCTTGGGTAAGAGGAAACCCTATTTCCCAAACCTTATACACCCACCGTGATCATATATAATCACAATTAACCCCTCATTCATTAATCCCTTGTCATAGTTACACCTCCTTGTTAAAATTCTCTCTGAAAATGATGATTCCTGCTAATGTAGATGTTTCCACCATGAATTTGAAGTTGAAGTTGCCGATGAAGATGAAGGAGGAGGAAAAAGTGCAGCAACACTGGGAGGCATACCCACTTCTTGTTGATTTGAAGGCGGAGGAAATCTTATTGAAAGAGTGTCGAAATCTTGAACATGATCAAAACATCAACAACAGAGTTGTGATTCCCAGATTCAAAAGGACCTTCCGTGAATGTGTTGGTCATATACACTTGGATATATACAATGAGAAAGGTTGTTCAAGGACCTTCCATGAATGTTGTTTTGATCATCATCATCATCAACTACAAGAAGAAGAAGAAGAAGTGCAGCAGAAAAAGAAGATGAAGAAGGAGATAGTGAAGGTGTTGGCTCCAGCAGTGCCTCCTCCGGATTTGGCTGAAAGCTTCAAGAGACAAATCCAACAACAAGAAGAAATGCAGCAGAAAAAGAAGAAGAAGAAGATGAAGAAGAAGAAGGAGACAGTGAAGGTGTTGGCTCCAGTAGTGCCTCCTCCGGATTTGGCCGAAAGCTTCAAGAGACAAATCCAAGAATTGAAGGGTTCCGAGCCAATATTTGTGGCACAGAAGACGCTCACCCAAACCGACCTCAGTGTAAAGCACGGACGATTGTTGTTGCCGTTGAGTCTCATCAAGAATCGCCACTTCCTCACACCCCAAGAGATACACTTTCTCAACTCCAAACCGCCGGTGGATGACACCAAGACCAAGAAGAAGAAGGCCATCAAATTGCCCGGAATACGGGTGCCTCTGATTGAACCCTCCGGCGAGGCCGAACAATCTTTCTTGACAATCAAGAGATGGGACATGAAGAAGAAAGAAACGGGCCGAGTCAACCCGACTTACTCGTTGATCACTGGTTGGAACTCCTTTGTTACAAGGAATAGGCTTGAAGAAGACATGGTGTTGCAAGTGTGGTCCTTCCGAGTTGATTCGGAATTGTGGTTTGCTCTGGTTAATCTCGGACAAAATTACTAAACTATAGGTCAAAGAAATTAGGAGTAGCCTAGCGTAGTACTCCATCATTCATTTGTTTGTATCCAAGTTGGTTATTAATCTTCAATGGTATATATGTCATTAATCTTCAAAATTTAATTTCTGGATGATTTCTTTGTATTATATTAGGAGTTGTTCTCAATTATTATTAGTACAAGAATTAGTTCTTTAAATTTGGTTCATACCATTGATTGATGTGGAAGTTATTTGGCCGGCGACCATGGTGTCATGGCCGGAGTGTGAAGTTCTGTTTGAGAAAAGGAACATCTGGGGATTATTCTGTATTGCGTTATTTTATTCAGCCTAAGAAAACCATATATTAACCATAGGGCTTTTAGGGTTCGGGTATTGTTTATACTGGGCTAAGTTATTTGCCTGTAACAGGGTTTGTTGGCCTCAATTATTGGGCTTGCCTAGGTTTGGATTGATTATCCTTTTGTTTGGCCCAAGTGCCTATATAATTACTGTATTAATGGGAAAGTGTTGTTAATTATGACAAAAATTGGGTAATTACAAAATAAGCCTCGCCTCCATCATTCATTTGACGTATGCAAAAATTTGGGTAAATTCAGATTTTAGTTGAGGGAAGAGTTAAATCAAGAGCAGCTATACTCAACAGACCATCTACACTTAATGCTCTCACAGTCTAATCCCATGGTGTGTCCTCTGTTCTCCAATTTTCTCCATTTCTATTTTGTGGGTTTTTCCAGTAATGTCCTTTAGTTCATAGCCATATCTAAATTTTGTAAAACTTTGTTTTCCATTCCAGACTGTATGAATCATGGGAAGAAAACATAGATATTGGATTTGTCATTATGAAGGTAATATAATGTTGTGCATCTTTTTCCCCAACCATTGGAAGTCCAGGTTTTTTAGGAATCTTTTGATTTCATCTTTTGAAGGGTAGCGGCAAGGCATTCTGTTCTGGTGCTGATGTTGTTGCCCTTTATCAGTTGCTTAATGAAGGTGGGTCGCCCTCTTTTGTGCGTGTGAGTGTGTGTTTTCGGAGTCCAGCATTTGAATTCTTTCGGATTAAGGTATCAACTTAACTAAGGTTGATTTTGGTACATTTTCTATTGCAATAGATTTCTGTGCTTCCTTTTATTTGATTTGGAAACAACTTGAGAAATATTAGTATAAAAACTCGATTGATTTCATTACTAGTATATATCAGATCATTTGACTGGGAACAATTTTACATAGTTCCTGCTAACTGAGTAAAACGACTAGTTCTAATGTACATACTTGACTAATATTTATGGTAGAGGTGTGGGACTGTGTAAAATTGTACTGTTATGGAATCCACTGCATACCTTGGTGGAGAGGATATTATTAAATAGAACTAGTGATAGATTTGATGATTAATTAGCGTTGGATTTTATTTGATTGCTATTATTGCAATTTCTTGAATATTAATGTGTAAAACTTGAAATGGCCTTCGATTTTTGGCACCCCCTTTCCCCTCCAAAATTTTAAAATCTTCCATGAATTTGTTACAAGGGGTGGAGAAAATACGGAACAAAATTATGATTATTTGCAGTTCTGGATACAACCATGGCGCACCCTTGGATTTTCTGGCTGTGTACCCTCATCGTTTCCACATCTAGTTTCCCTGGACCTTCTCCTTTTCCAACATGAGTGTCCGGATGTTGTTCAATTGGACAGGAAGACAAAAATATTGAAATTTTCTTGTATTGATCAGATTTCTGGGAGATTATATGTGGTTTCCATGGTTGGATGGCGATTGTAGCCATCAATATACTACAAAAATTTGGGCTTATGGTGGATTTAATAACAAAATAGCAACACTTATGTGTCACTGGCGATGAGTTGTACTGCGTATATAACAGCTCAATATATATATATATATATATATATATATATATGTATGTATGTATGTATGTATGTATGTTTCTGCAAAGGCAAAGAAGACTAAAAAACTCTTTTACTTTTTAACTCCTTAATATGACCTGCTTGTAGTTGAGAAGAAGTCTCATTTTGTCGATTTTTCGATTATGCTTTTATACTCCTTAATATGATCTGCTCAATGTAGTTTTAGTTTTTTTCCAAAGGCAAAGAAGACTAAAACAGCTCAATTTTTAACTCTGTTGCCTTTTTAACTCCTTAATAGTTAATGTGATCTGCCTCTAGTTGAGAAGCAGTCTTACTTTCTGATTTATAGATTATGATGTTATTACTAGTAGTAATAAATTATGATTTTATACTTGTACTTACTAATTACTTGTATTTCTGAAATTTTGTCAATTACGTTTATTATGTGCAGGAAAGATTGAAGAATGTAAATTTTTTTCAAGACACTGTACAATTTTATATACCTTCTCAAGTTTTATATGGAATATTTTTGACATATTTTGAACTTGAGCCTTCTTATCTAAGATTTTTGTTCTTTGCATTTGTAGATAGCCATGTATAAAAAGGCTTTTATCTTTCTTACAAAGCTCGTGTGAAAATTTATAAGCGTTGCATGTGTGATCCCAATTCTTATTTTGTATATACCATTATCTGCTTCAAAATATGGGAGGAGTGATCTTCATTACCTATTAATGAGTTTAGAACCTAACTTGAATAGTTGAAGTTTGCTCTACAAAACTATGGAATCAAACTCAGTCTGTTAGACGAACTTTTTCTTACTTTATTGAAACATAATTTGAATGATGGATTAATGTTTGTGGCAATATTTGTGTATAAGGGAAAGAGTTGATTTAATTTTTGTTAGCGTTTTATCCTATTTGAAATTGGCATACAAGTTAGAGGTATCCTATGTGATAAAGATGAATATCAAATAAGTTAAAAGTAAAATTTTACAAGACAGTTATTAGACTAAATATCTTTTATGGAGTAGAGTGTTGGGTGTTGAAATAGAAACAACACATTCATGTTGTCGAAATGAGAATGTTGAGATGGGTGATGAGAGTAACTAGAAGAGACATGATTAGTAATCAACATGTTAGAGAAAGATAAAAAATGGCACTTTTAAGTGATAAAATAAGAAAAAATAGGCTTAGAGAGTATAAACTATGAACATATACAACATAGAACGAAAGATGCAAAAATAAAATAAGATTCATCAGTTAAAATAAATAATAAGAGGCAAAGAAGTAGGCAAAACTACCATGGGACAGAGTACTAAAAGACCTTAAGAAATTGTATAACTTATAATAGAAAATGGGAAGAAGCGAATGAGGTGGGAGATCCTATTCGAATTTGACCAGAGCAAGGATGTGGATGATGACATCGAGACACTGGTTTGCTAAAGGCAAGCTTGGCTGTATACATCTATGACAATCACTAGCCTGCTGAAAATTGTAAACAAGATGCCTAGGAATGCCCACGTGTCTGCCTTTGTTGATTAGATATTGCTGATTTAGCTAGGGTTGCAAATCATAGAGCTCCCAAGGTAAGCAATATGGATAGTAAATTAAATAAATAAATCCAGTTTTTCTGAAAGTCAAGAAGTAGTTTGGGATCCTATGAAATTTATTGGATTTGATGGTATGAATAGAAATTTGTGTGCAATATGTTGAAAGGTAATAGGATTTTTCTTGAATAACTTGAAATTGAGCTTCAATGACATTAGTTCAGAATGTTGTGATTTTATCTTGTGCTAGAAACACAAAACAAAAGCAGGAATAATATTGGAAGGGATAAAAGTTTAGTGGTACGGAGGATATCAGAAAGAAGCTATGATTACAAGGGGATTAGTAACTGGAAAATGCTCCTCATCTCTAAGCATGACAAAAAAACATAGTACAAGGGGGTTTGTAACTAGAAAATAATCCTCATCTCCAAGCACAACAAACATTGGTTGATGTGTATTGTTAAAACATGTACTTAATAAAGATAGAGGAAAGGAGAAGAGATGGCATAGTGCCAACACATAGTTAATCCTTATGCTTAACACATCTCTGACTTAAGATAGCTCCTTGGAAGGAGACATTAAAGATGCATGTCAGGGTTTGTTCTTCCATTTGCAATAGAACTGAACCATCAGATTCCTAAGTGGGAGGGTCATAAATATTGGGTTCAGTGAAAATTTTAAGCTAAATTAAGGACCTGTCTATGTTGTGTTTGGACCAATATCCCAGCTTTATCTCTATTTTAATACCGGTTCTTTGACTTGTCATTTTATTTTAATCATAATTATGTTTAATTGTTTTTGCCTTATCTTTTTCCTTTGAATGGAAAACATTGTTTTCCTCAAGGTATCTATAAGTTTCTGTGTTGCAGTTTAAGTGGAATGATTGATCATATCATATAACTGTCATTTGTACAGGTGGCTATCATGGATGGTATCACAATGGGATGTGGGGCGGGTATTTCTCTCCCTGGAATGTTCCGTTTGGTCACTGATAAAACTGTATGTAACTGCTGCTATCATTACCATTTGCAATTAAATTTTAGGAAGCTACCACGAGGGCGCTCTCATTGTGAGCTTGCACCCTCCGCCTTTAGATTAGGAGAATGATGAGGTCACACTCTTGCTCCGACGGCTGAGGGCATGATCTCACCTCAAAAGTGCCTCATGGTAGACTCTGCTGAGGGCATGTTTAATTTGATCTCATGAAGTACAAGTGCAAAGAAGCACCCTCTTACATGCTTGGATACCTCCGCTGATGTAGGATCTAGAGTAGCATTACAAATATAGCTTTAAAGGTTAGGGCTAATTTCACTAACACCCCCTCACGTTTGGCCAAATATCACATTGAAACAACTTTCGAAAATTACTATCACTCACATTACAAACTTGGGTTATGATTACCTGCTCATTTGTGGGCTTGGGGCCTAGTTGGTGCAAAAGAGTAAGAGAATACAGCTGTTACTTCCAAGACCTATATAATTGCAAGTCGCAAATATATCTCCATCAAGTACCTTCTGAGAAAATAATTGAGAAATAGGTGCAGATACTTCTGCTTGAAAGGCTAGTCTTTGTCACATTTCTACATTTTACTCATTGTCTTTGGTGCCTACATTCTGACTTTTGTCTGACATGAGATAAAACATTGTTCCTGATGGGAGTTAAGACTCCTGAATTTTGATGTTGATATTCTCAGGAACAAGAGGCTGCGGAGTCTTATAATGAATGGTGCACCTCAGCTCTCAAGAAACTAAAAGAAGCCTCCCCATTGAGTTTAAAGGTCACTCTGCAATCTGTGAGTTACGATTCCCTCGCATATCTAATTGCTTCCCTTTAGATTCATTGTATACCCAGTACTTCAACTTCATTTCCTGACTCTAGATACGAGAAGGTAGATTTCAGCCTCTTGATCAGTGTCTTGCTCGTGAATATCGTATGTCTCTGAATTGGATTTCCAAAAATATCTCTAATGACTAGTGCGAGGTATGGGTTTTCTGATTTCCCCATTTAGAAACATTTTTAAAAATAACTCCCTTGCGCTTACACTTGTTTTCATCAATTTCTATAGGGTGTTCGGGCAAGATTAGTTGACAAGGACTTTGCACCAAAGGTATCCTTAGAATTCTGTTCTGTACACTGTTTTTGAATTTTCTGTATTGATTTTCCGGAAAAGTTAAAATGTGTATCTAAATTTAAATTTGAAGTGGGATCCTCCAAGTTTAGGAGAAGTAACTAAAGACATGGTTGACTGCTTTTTTGCCAACTTGCAGAAATTCCTGCAATTTCAAAGTCGTGCCATGGCTAACTGAAAGTATCTTCATTGGTGAGCAAGGTGAGAGGGTAAATACACACATTTTTGTACATTTCTACATATTCTAGTGTAGAAACTTAGATTTTCAGAAATTATTGAATGATCTTGGATTTGGTGGCTCAGAAATCGGGTGTCAGTTTTTCAGAGATATGATTTTTTTTTAATTTTTTAATTTAATTTAATTAATTTATTATTTTTCAATCGACGGGTAAGAAACAACTTTTTCCTTGGTTTGTTACATGGAACTGTTCTTTATTGAGTAAAACCTTTTTTATGCCTAGTGGGAAGGATCTGGAGTATGAAAACATTCGTAGTTAGGAGGACTAGACTCTCTATAAGCAGATTATGAATTGATGATATTGCATTTAGTTTGAGCTTTAGTTATTATTATAGTGAATTCTTCATCAATCAGATAAAACTAGTCAACTGTAGCTAACTATTTTGGCAACAACCATTGTTGCAAAACCAACACAGATGTTCTCTATTTTGCCTTTAAATTTAGTAGATGCATATTAGGATATTGTATGACAACATTGTGTTTGGTCTTGCATTCGAAAATACTTACCTCTCGTTCACTGTAAGTTTAGTCTTATATTTCATGAATTTTCTTTCATTTGACTTGCATCTGAATCACATTCTAATGGAACCAGGTAAACTGGTGTTTACACTAATTGCTACACAGGCCCTGAGAACATATCCCATTTGTTTCTTCAATGCACCTTCTTGACTAACATCATTGCTCCAGAAGTAGCATTTATTGATCAATTGGATCTCTCACCAATGATAACAAGCTCTACCTTGCTAGCTCTGTATGTTTTATCTGGCGTGAGCATAACCATAGAATTTGCAGGGGCACTGTTCACATCCTTTGACGATTTTCGACTCTGACTTCATTCTGGTGAGAGCAAGGCCGCTGTCCATGCACTTCAAGAACTGCAGAGGAGCCCATTGGACGAGTACTGCTACTTGGAATCTGCATTCATTTGTTATCCAAAATCCCTAATTTCTTCTTGTTAGGTTTCATATTCATTTGGTTGGTTATTCTTGTAACGGCATTTTGAATGTGTTTTTGGGCCTTGGGCCCCGTCTTCGGGTTGATGCTTGTTCCTGTGCTATTGTACCCTGGGGTTTTTCTTGCAGGGCCTGAGCCCAACTCCCTTTGCACTGTCCTCTTTCCTGTCTATGAATAATTTTTTTAAAAACTATTGCTGTATTATTGCTGTATCTATTGCTGTATTATTAACTAGCTATGTACTTCAACAAGGCACAAAGTTTCCATGTAAAACCTTTCTACTTGTAATTGATCCCAAGAAAAAAAGATGGTGTTACATGCAATGCATATTGTTGATCTTATACTAATGACCATGCTCACTAATTCCTTATCATGCACAAAATTTTCACCCAAAACGTTTCAAACTTCGTAGATGTCACATGTTTTTCTAGCACAAGGCTGTGTTGGTCACACTAGGTCAAGTACTGAAAAGAAAAAGTATAACCATTTAATTAATTCCTAGTGCCTTCCCAAAGATCAGAGAAAATTCTGTTGAGGCAAGGGATGTTCCTAGGCCAAGTATCGGGAAGAGGCTTATATTCTGTGCCACATAACAATTGTGGCGTAAGTCAATGGTGGAGATTACCTCTTGTAGGGTAGTTTTTACAAATAGTGTGAACTTCACTCGATATGGAGTGTAGGTAAATGGTGGAGATCACCTCTTGTAGGGTGTAGTTTCCACAAATAGTGTGAAGCTCACTCGAGGTGAAGTGATATTCACTATCTCTTGTGCATAGACGTTCTGTGGCACAGAAAGAAATCCTGAGATAATTGTGAACCATGTGTTAATGTGAAAGAAAAAATAAAAATCCCCAAAAGTCTAAATATTTAAACAAATGCTCACGCATTGATTGATAGTATTGTCCTGAGCTCCCCAAAGGAGAGATCAAATGAAACCCCTAGTGTCCAATGCCAATGGGTTAGCCAAAAGATGGGAACTCCACTTGTGTCCATTTAAGTACATGTCAGTGTATGTACTGTCTGTATGAGTGAGAGAGTTGAGATGGATGGTGACCAAAGCACACTACTACTTGTTACATGCGTGTGGCCTTTGGAGTTAAAGAGAGGACACCTACCTAGCTAGTTCTCTCTTTCCCATATAGTCTGTAGAGTGATCCTTTTAACTTATTGAAAGTGACAATACATGGTCTGTAACTAAGTTATCCTAAACAACAATATGTGGAGAGGCATTGCACATGTGTTCATATAGGGACCAATGGAAATGGACACTTCTGCACAAGCAATGACACCATTTCCCACAACCAACCAATGGATGCCATGCATTTAATAATGTGACACAAAAAAGGATGAGATGAACCAATATGTATATATATATACACACACATACATTGATATAGACCTATGGCACCCCACCCATAAAACTAGATATATCATCACTTACCCACCTTGAGGAATGAGTGGTACTTCCCGTTTTTATAGCAAACCTAGTTGTATGACTCAAAAATGAATCTGCGTGCATCATATATAAAGGGAATATTACCCAAGTTTACCAAATGGGCAATAGCATAATTGGTACAAATCCTTAGCCCTCAAATGTAAAAGTTGGGTATTCGAAACTCGATAAAAATATGCATACGTGTGATTACTTAATCTTTTAATATATATATTATGAGGGTTTAGATATATAATATATAAAGCCTATGAAAGTGATACCTCATGCGTGCGGATGAGCGAACAATGTTGTTCATAATTCAAACCTACAACACTAGTGTCAAATAACTTTTGTTCCTTGCATATATCTCAAGTGATAAATACGTGTCTCACTTGAAATGCATCTCCAGTAAATAACCCTTCTGCTAGTACTGTTTAAGCCTAACTTCGGACCCATTTATATGTCTGTGTGATTATAAATATTTACATATTCTATGCATGAACTATACATTCACACCAACACACAAATTAAAAAGGGAATATATACATTAATTAACTAATCCTAGATATTTAATAATAGAGATATAGAGAGAGAAGCAAGCAAGCACTGCCAAAAGGAGGATTGATGGATCTATAGAACTCAAATATGAATGGAGGTGGAAAGGAAAAGGGTGGATGAGAGAAGAGGGCAAAGAAAAAGAAGTAAAAAGAAGAAACCTGAAAATGCGGCAAATGCATGGGAAAGGTAGAGACAGCATGAGATAAGTTGGGGCTTCAAGTGCACGCATGCTTTTCTTCAAACATCAAAACTCTCTCTCTCTCTCTCTCTCTCTCTCTCTCACTCTCTCTCTCTCTCACACACACACACACACACCCACCCACACAAATGCCATCAAATTTCATAGGGTTTTCTTTTTCCTCTATGACGGGGGTTGAGAGACATGACAACCTGTTCTTCCAAGCAACTCCATCCCCACACATCTTTGTTGCTCCTGTCAACAAACACAGCCTTTTCTCTTACAGAAAATTATAGTAATATTAATAACAATAAAAAATAATAATATATCAAAGTAAAAAAGCCCTTTTTTATTGAGTCGGTCTGTTTGTGAAATTTTATTTCTCTATATCAAACTTTTCAAACTCTAATATAATAAGAATGGAAAAAGAATCCTACTGAATTTTTACTAAAATGATAAGATAGGGTTGATAAGATGAATTGCATGCACATATATAAAAACAGAATTTATTATTGCACTGTTGTCCCTTTTTTTATCTTAATGTGGTTGGATTAAAATTTATTTGATTTTGAGCCAAACCCCAACTCCTTTGAATGTAGCAGATAACATTTCACCTCAAAAATGAAGATCGACTGTTATTTGTTGGATGCACTAGTGAAAAATATTCTTTGTATTCTTATATTTATTTAAATATTTTTAGTAGAAAGTGACAATTCAAAGTCGAGTATAGCATTACTTTTTTCTTTTTCTTTTTTTTTGAATAATTTTTTATAATGAGAGTATTTTTGAAGGATAATTAATTATATTACATTTTTCTTTAAAATGGGAAGTACACTGCAATAATACAAAAAAGGAGCGTGAATACAAATCATTTATCCTTGATCAAAACAATTAAGAAAAATTTGTCTAACTACATATATATTCAGATTATATATAGAGTAATTCTACGTAAAGTTTGTAATTTTCCTGTTAGTGATCAATTGTTAATAAAAAAATTGTTTGGTTCTGTTCACTTAAAATAGTTTTAATTTAGAAACAAAATGAAAACATAAAGGTATATAAGAAAAAGAAGAAGAAGAAGAAGACTTGTAGTGCTCTAAGATAAATTGGTTTATTTAGATTGTCTAAAAATAAAAGCTTTTAGGAAAACCCTCAAACAGGCAATTTTATTTTAGTATGGATTCAATCAATGTTTCACAAAAAATCCATCGATACTTTTTTAATGATTTTTTTTATTTTTTTATTTTTCCCAGTATGACTGGGTATTCTTAGGGACCCCACTTGTCCATGTACCAACATTGTGCACACAGGTAGTTGGATTTCCAGTGCGAGCCAGATAATAAGGCCGTTTAGTTTCACACACACAAAAAACAGTACCATGCAAAGGGCTTAAAAGAAGCATTACAAATTATTCAGTATCCAACACATTTTAAATTAATCCACAAAGAGACACAAGTTGGCTCCTAGGAATCTAAGCTAGCTCCTCCTTATATATAAATATCTACACACACAAACTAACACACACACACACACACACACACACACACAACCCTTCTTTTTGTATCAAAGAGGTCCATTCATCATCCATGGCTGCTCAGCATGAGAATTGTTCAACAGTCTCTGTATCAAAAATTCTTTCTGTGTACCCAAAAGTTTTGCACCCTCCAAAACTTTTAAGTCTGTCCAATTTGGATAGACAGTGTCCAATTCTCATGTACTTGGTTTTCTTTTACAAACACTCTCATGCTTTCAAAGATTTAACAGATCATTCCATCTTTAGTCCGTTGAAGACCGGGTTAGAAGAGACACTGTCCGTGTGGTATCCAGCTGCAGGCAGGCTGAGCTCTAACCCGGACGATGGCAAACTCAATTTATGGTGCAACAATGGTGGTGCAGTTCTGGTTGAGGCAGTGACCCATGTTAAGATCTCGGAGCTTCGAGATCTCTCACAGTACAATGGCTTCTTTGAGAATTTAGTTTACAAGCCTCTTGTTAATGGGAATATCTCTGAGATGCCTCTGGTTGTTGCTAAGGTGAGAACTTTTTTATAAAAAAAAATTTTGGTAGTTCAAAATTTTCTTTACTATGTAGTCTATGTTAAAAAAAAAATAAAAAAAATCCCTAAGATTACAAGTCTCTCAAACTTAATCCCACTAGCTATACCCTTTGTCTCTCACACTATTTCAGTTTTTAATATTTCCTCTCAAACAAAATAAACCCTAGCACCAATGAATGTTAGAATTTTGATATAGACGAGCAAGCTAAGAAGCACGGACACTTTTACAAAAGTACCATGTTTGTGTCCAACATTATCCTGTTAGATCTTCATGGACACTTCTCAACATATGTCCTAACACATACTCTATGGATGTGTCCATCATTTAAAATTAAACATTTTTATTATTTCAGACATTTACCCGACACATTTAGAATATTTGATTAACCCATCTCGGATATTTGGTCAACACATTTCAAATAGTTAACCAACATATCCTACACTCTTCCACTTATTTACAGCAAATATATGACAATTCTAGAAACAACATTATAGCGTACATTAAAATGTCCAACGTTTTTACGTTAAAATTTTGATATTCAACACTTGCATGTCGTATTGCAATATTAACAAAAACTTAATTATAATGACAAGATATGAGAGCAATATCATATATATATATATATATATATATATATATTGATTCCATGTCAATGGTCTATTATAGGTGACAAAATTTGGTTGTGGTGGCTACTCTCTGGGTGTTGGAACAAGCCACTCCTTATTTGACGGACCAGCAGCCTATAATTTTCTATGTGCATGGGCTTCTCACTCTAATACTACTATGAAAGGAGTACTTGAAAGGCCTGAGCTGCCTACACCAGTTCATGAAAGAGGAAGATTGTTGTTGATGGACAATAATCAAACTCCAAAAGGGACTCTCAATTTACACAAGAACTCGGATTCGGTGATAAGAGTCAGGGCAATAGATCATCTGTATCAATTGATAAAACAAGCAGCTCCTCATGATGATCATGATCAGAATCATGATCAAGATTGTGTTCTTAGAACCTTTCATTTAAGTGGTGCAATGATTGAGAACTTGAAGAGGAAGGTGTTCACTGAGAAGAGAGGAACCTTTTCATGTTCATCTTTCAAGGTAGTTGCAGTTCACCTATGGAAGGTAAATTAAGATTCTTCTTAATTAGTTTCTTAATTTTAACATATATATATGCATCCTTTTTCAAAAGCTTGAACATCTGATGGTGATTTTAGTGCATGTGATAGAAAGTTGATCGATCAGGAATATTTTAGTTTCATCTGATACATCTTTAACCTGATAATTCAGCAAATTGAATTTTGTATTCATACAATTTACCTCAAGGTTAGTATAGATATTCAAATGTGTGTCTGTACATAAGTATATGGGGTAGCACATCTCTACATGCACATGTGAGTCATCATATATAGACTCATAGTCATTGTTCATCTTAATTAATTTGTTTCAGGCAAGGACAATGGCCTTAGGTTTCCCCAAAGAAAGAATGGTGTGCTTGCAATTCGCGGTGGACACGAGGACCAGAATGGTGCCACCACTGCCAAAAGGTTTCAGTGGCAACGCATACGTGCTAGCGTCTGTGGCCATGACAGCAGGAGAGTTGGAAGAAGCAAGCTATGAAGCCATAGTTGAGAAGATAGAGGAAGCCAAGAATTCAGTGAACAATGACTACATCAATGCATATGTTAAAGCACTTGAAGGATCACCACAGGCCACACTTCCTCCATTGAAGGAGCTAACCCTAGTTTCGGATTGGACTAGGGTTCCATTTCACAAGCTTGACTTCCTAGGTGAAGAAGCAGCCTATGCATCCCCACTAGTTACTCCACTCCCACAGGTTGTGTACTTCTTGCAGAACCCTAATGAATCTGAGGGCATTGATGTGAGAATTGGTTTGTTCCCACAAACCCTAAGTGCTTTCTCACACTGCTTCCTCTTCAACTTGCAATAAAATCATGTTTATGTTTCGTTTGGAAAAAACTATTATGAATTACTCAATATGATCATAAGATTCATGAGAGTTGTCCATCATGGTGTTTAATTGTTAAAATGCTAGTTTTTATTTTTTGTTTTATTTTTTATTTTTTTAATAATCATACTGAACATGTTGATTATCATATAATAATGACAAAGACTAACAAAAACAATGTCCCGTTTTCTAGGAAGAAGGGCCTATCTGTGTCTTCAGATGGCATTTCCTATTTTCAATGAAACTTAGTCTAACAGAAACAAAGGGACAAATGTGTAGAACCAAACAACACAATTGAGTACTATAAGTCTAGCTAGCTATATGTATATAATGCCCTGTTGGACCCATGCATATATATATGGAAAAATAATGCATTTGCTTACCCCTATGTTAAAAGTTTTAAGAGGATTCTAATGCGATTGCTCAATCATCATGGATAACAATGCATTTTGGATCATAATCCATGTTGAAGCTCGGCTCATTTTGCTTGAAAACTCTCAAATACCCTCTCTCAATTGGGTTATTTAAACTGTCGAACTGCATATAAGTTGTCGGAATCATTCGATTATGTAAGCAAGCCTCCAAAATTTCAAATAAATATCTTTCTATCATCAAAACATCAAATCGATTACATCATGATGAAATTCGATACATTTTACACAAAATTTCTTAAAATTAAATTTCAATCGGGTTACTTTTACAATTCGAACGTAAAATGAGTCTCAAGCAGTTCAATATCATCAAAAAGGTTTCTAGAAGGATTCAAATTTGATTAAAATTGACAATTATCTCATAAATACGGATATGAAAGGAAAAATAATTGATTATTTATGTCTCCACTTAAGCTCTCGACCTGTCTAATTTTTGAAAGGCAGTACCGTTGGGCTACTATCCTATTCCTAGTTGATTAGACCAAGCAAACAAGAAGGAGGTAGCACGATGCTGCACCTTTAGTGAACATATTGGATAATATATATATATTGAAAGTTAAGGTAAATTGTATAAATTTGAAAATGTACAAGGCCCAGAGACCCCACCAGAGGCAAAGCCTTTCAAACATTTGAGGCCCAAGAGAACTCTCCATGAGCCTTGCAACCCTGGCATTCCAACATCCCTGGACATTCCAGTGGAGACACATACAGGGCAAAGAGCTGGCCTGTTGACGATTTAGCCCCGCCGACCTGACGGTGGTCGATTAAATTTAATTATGATTAGTCCGATTTATCTTATGATATATTTGGGAGTATCTAATCAGTAATTTAAAATTAAAATTAAAAAAAGTTTAGTTAAAATTTAAATTTAAAATTAAAATTTATTCAATTCCAAATTTAGTGAATGTATTTTATTTCTTTCGAATGTAAGATGCTTTGCTTTTTTGAGTGATTTACGTAGCGTGGTGGGATTTTTAGAAGTTTTTGTTTCTTTACGTGGAGTCGTGAGAGTTTTCTTTAAGTTAAAGTGTGTTCGGAATTTCTTTTTGCATATTCTATTCTGTGAACCAAAATCCCACGTAATCAATCATCATATGCTTTTCGTAATATATAAATATAATTTTTTGTAATGACATAATCTTTGCTTCCTCAACCATATGAACACATATGCAGTATAAATTTTGTGCATATTGTATCAAATCCACGTCCTTCCACACCTTTGATTGGCAATTTGGCATGAATTAATAACACATTTGTCAACCATATTGAAATAGGTTGTACTTGAAAATACAAAATGCGAAATAATAATAACATGGTTTGATTAGAACAAAGTAATGATCATGATGTGCAATACAATTTCTTCTACTTGTTTTTTCTGTTCATAAAACAGATTTAAAACTTAATTGAGAAAGTAGTCTTATTTCATAAATTAGGGTCCTATCAAGTTTCATTTGATTTCATCTATCGAGGGCTTTATATATATATATATATATATATATATATATATATATTTGGAAATATTTTATAGCAACGATTATGTTCCTTATGTATTTGTTTACCTTTTAAAGTAAAAGGTTGAAAGTTCAAGTCTCATTGGAACAAAAGTATGTGTAAGTGTATTTCTTGTCAATAAAAATAAAAAAATTATGCCTAAAGACTTTTTTGAAAAATAGACACCTTACACCATGAATTGCATATAAAATATTCAAACAAAATTATAAAATAAAATCAAATGGTCCATATAAATGAGACACATGCTGAGCCTAAAGGCATTTTTGGAAAATATAATAAATTGATCTGAATAAATGAGAGGCATGCTGAGCGAGAAATGAAAGATAATAGGACTCATATTGGTCCGTAGTCTTTTTTTTAAAAAAATAAAATAAAATAAAACATGATGTAACAAGTCTTATGTCAAGTTGCTCAAAAACAATACTCAAAATAGTGATATAAAAATTATTAGAGTAAAATTCTAACCCAAAACAAATAGAAGAAACAAACTTATAAAAGGCTTAGAATGTAACGGTTATAAGCATTATAAGTCCAGAAATTAAACCTATAATAAACAATCATAAAATAGTGTTAAATACAATTTAAAACAAAATAATTAAAATATATTATTTTATTAAAATATTATTAAAAAAAAAGGTTTATTGTTGTCCTTCCCTACTCCTTCCAAATAGCTTTGTCTATGATATCATGATAAGGAATGCGCTGTTGGTGGAGCATTTGTTTTAATAATATCACTGTCCACTACCCAATTTGGATTCTTTGTGGTTTCCTGACTCATATATATATATATATATATATATATAGATAGATAGATAGATAGATAGATAGAGTATGTAGCCCAAAACCAATTTGCCTTCTTTGTGGATTCATGACTCATGTATATTAATATGTGTATGGGTCTGTGACTCATAACCTCCACCAAAGTTCAACCTACTACAAGTGTTATTAATGGAAATAGTGGGAGAAATTAGATTATCTGAAAAGTTAAAAGTACTATTTTTGTAATATTATTAATTTAACTTAAGTTAAAAGGGTGAGATTAATTATTGAATTATTAAATTATATTGTTATTCTTGTCTCTCATTTCCTAATTAAAAATTAAAAAATTAATAATAATATAATAAAAAACTTTCACGCATACAATTATTCATACTCATTTTATTCATTTGAACACTCAAACCATCCACCATCCATTTTGAAATAAATACTCTGGTAATAGAGTAGCATAACAAGTACAGAATATATCAAAATACTCTAAAATAATTCGAAATGTGCAATATTGACCGGAATCCACACTTTTCATCACTTACTATCTAATTGTGAAACATACAAATTATAATATCCAAAACACACTCATATTTTTTTCTTTTCTTTTCTTTTCTTTTCTTTTAAGTATTTAAAAATGATAATAATCATGAATTTTGCGATGAAACGTTACAACAAAATAAAGACAAAGAACCACAAGGCTTGTAGTAGTTTACGACGAGGTGCATTTGTCATAAAGTTCATAACTGGTTTGCATTCACAAACGACAAAACTTTCATAAGATTCAGATGTACATACATATATAATAAAATGAATGTCATGCCAACTCATTTTTCCAAACTCCCAATAAATACTCCTACTTACTTACTTATCCAACTAATTTCAATTACTATTGATAATTCAAAACCACCCTTTATTATTTCCTAACACATTTTTTATATCATTTTATTTTTTTTAATCTTTTATTCATCATCTTTTCAAAAGCAAAAAGATTTGGTGAGAGGATAATAACTTAGGCATAGTTTGGTATATAAGAATGTAATGAAATAGTTATTTATATTCTATTATTTCTTTGTAAATATGGAATGATAATTACCATTCTAAGTTGTAGTGAGGTGATTGTTGGTGAAACAGTGGTAAAAGGCGGTGATGGTGAGGGAAAGCGGTAGCGGTGACAATGGCGGAAGGTGACTGTGATGGAAATCCACGACGGTGATAAAAGGAGGTGGCACTGGCTTAGAATTTCACTCATTGGAATGAATTTTCATTCCACTCATTTACATGTGGAATTGATTTTCTTTCTAATTCATTCCAAAAAAAAAATTGATCATTCCCACATACAAACAAAGAAATAATTTTAATGAGCATTCATTCCTGCAAACCAAATTAAAACTATCATAGTACTAAAAATAATCTTAATATTTTTAAAAAATAAGATTTAAAAATATTTGATTCCATTTTAACAAAAGAGTTTGATAGTAAATTGATTAATCTCTACTTTATCTTTTCCAAACAAGTGTTGTGCTTTCTTTTCTTTTCTTTCCAAATTTATTCAAGCATAAATGAATATAAGAAATATATATATATATATATATATATATATATAGTATATATTCTTTTTCGCCTAAATATGATGTGTTATAACAGATTTACCCAAAATTTTTGGATTATTTATTTTTAGCTCTATATTTTGTGTAAAAATATATTCCTCCAAAACAATCAATCAACCCTACATAATTTTTACAAACCTACTTAATATAGGGTTGATAATGAAATAAGAAAGAAAGAGGTGAAAAGAAATATGTTGTTGTGACTTTGTAACAATTTTACAAATTGATGATGTGACCGTGTACAGAGTATATTTTAACAGACTAATGACAATAAAATAAAAAATTTACACATATACATAGCAATATATACTTTACACAAAATAGTGTTTTTAACGTACCGTTGGAAATGATGCTTTAATGTTGTTTCTCCTGTATAATCCAAACGAAGCCTTAATCTTTATTTTCTTGCAAACGGAGTCTTGCAGGGACAAGGAGGTTATGATAAAAACACAGAGTTAGTTCAAGGAATTTTATAGTTTTTGATGTGTCCCCTCCCCATGGATAAGCGACAGTGAGGTCGCTTTCGGCCGGCGACGGAACCTAAGTTATATATATATGTGTGTGTGTGTGTGTGTGTGGTTAAATAGATAGATTCCTATCCCTATAAAATATATATTTGGAAGTATAGAAACATTCCTTGTATTTTTCAAACAGAACTCTTGAGGAGTCGATTTCGGAATCCGATTTGCCACTGAAATTCCTCTATATTCTCTGTTTGGAAAGCCAGAATGTTATGTAGAATGATTTCCCGAGAAAAGAAGACCGGGAAAGTCCCCGTTTACCTCAACGTATACGATCTCACTCCTATCAACGGTTATGCTTACTGGCTCGGCCTCGGTGTCTATCATTCCGGTGTACAAGGTTTCAATTCATCTCTCACTCAAATTCATTGCTATATATATATAACGCTTGCCCTGTTGTTTGGTTCCTGAGAAAATTGAGGCAAAGAAAAGGAACTTGAAATTCTTAGTCTTTATCTTATATCCCACTTGCTATTGCTTTGTGAAAAATTAGAAATTGTAAAATTGAACCAGAAGAATTACTGCTAGTTCTTAGCTTGTCCAACATATTCTCAGCTAACAAAAGGAAAGTTTAGTTAGAGAAACAGATTGTATAAAAGGGTTTGCTTTGTTTTATTACTTATCAGTAGTGCAATTCAATTATAAAATCTTACTGTTGGCTGAACAGAGGAAATGAAAATAAATTTAAGAGGAGAAGAGAAGATCATTGAATTTCATAGTATATGCTTCTCTTTTTTCCGATTTGATTAAGCTCAAAAATCAGACTGTAAAAAATAATAATAATAATAATAATAAAAAATTGGAAATTTCTTTTTTTGGAATTTCGTTTCTGTTGCAGAGAAAAGTAAATAATGGAAATTTCTTTTTTTCTTTTATTTTATTTTTTTATTTTTTATTTTATTTTTGGGTAAAGGGGAAGGAAAAAAGAAATTTCCATTTTTTTTCTATGCTCTTCCATTTGGTTGCCAGAAAACATATAATCTCAATTAGTTTGCTATTATTATTATTATTCCATTTGCTATGCTTGCTTGAAATGGTTTTTGTCAAGAAATCTGATCAATCAAACTTATGTTGATTGCGATTTTGTTTTTCCTGTAAATTTTCAACTAACCAATACAGATAGTGAAATTACGTAAAGAATAATTTAGATTTAGAGTCAGAGTTCTTATTTGCATTTTTTAAGCAACCAAAGATATAATCTTAAGCTAGAAAACTTACTAGCTAAAGTAGACCGTGCATTGGCCCCAATGAGACGAGGGGAGCATAAGAATTCTCTAAATTTGCTCTATTTATTTATTTTATGTTACTGAAATTCTGACCTTATTGTATTTATTTTGTTAGTTCATGGGGTTGAATATGCATTCGGTGCTCATGAACATCCAACGACTGGGATATTCGAAGTGGAACCAAAGAAATGCCCTGGTTTCACATTCAGAAAATCGATCTTGATAGGAAGAACAGATATGGGGCCTAAAGAGGTCCGTGCACTCATGGAGAAATTTGCAGAGGAGTACTCGGGAAACACCTACAATCTTATCACCAAGAACTGCAACCACTTCTGCAACGGGGCCTGTCTCCAATTGACTCGGAAACCCATCCCTAGCTGGGTTAATCGACTTGCTCGACTTGGTCAGTACTCTGTTACAATACTAATAACTCGCATTTCATTGGATTTGCATTGGTGCTCTTATGGTTATGAATAGGTCTGCCCACACACACTTAATGTGCATATTATTTTTCGTAGTGTTACTGTTCTACCAATGCCACTTCAGTTGCTTCCAAAGCTTATTGCATTTTCTATAGTGCCTTTTTATGGTTAATATTAGTTGTATTTTACTCTTTTCGTCCCAAAAAGAGTGTCTTGCTTTGGGAACTGTAATTGTGTGTCATAGTTCCAGCTTCCCAAAGCAGGACACTCTTTTTGGAACAGGAGTAATATTTATCAACCTTCATTTTTACGCATCATTTGTTATTCCATAGACTTAGTTTGACCTTAGTGCCAGAGCTTGAATGAAGCCAGTGTATGCTTTAAAAACTCAGATAAATACACAATTTGCCAAGCCCATATTTCACCGTGTGGGTTAGGGACCAACAATTAAATCAAATTTTAATGTGTGTGAAAATCTTAAATCAAATTTTAATGTGTTTGAAAATCTGGAAGTTCGGGAATGATATGCACAGATTTTGGATCTGGTTGGCTTTAGATCATTGATTGTCACATATACATACCTTGATTGTTGTGTGACTTGGGAGCTGAGAGAAATTTAAAGTGAAATATAAAGCTATTTTAAATGAAATTTTACTGGTTTAAACTTGTATGTTAAATGTTAATGATTGATGAAGGTGTTTTAGATAAATTCTGTACAGATAATTCATATGCTTTGAAGACGAAATAGATGCTGAGGCACAAACATGTCCAAAAACCAATTTTAGTACATTTTCATTAATTCCTTTGATTTGTAATAATCTGTGTTCATTTGATAAAAAATTGAAGGTTCTCTCTGCAATTGTGTTCTTCCAATGGGGTTGAATGAGACGAAGATCCGACATGTTAAAGTGGAAGATAGAGTTTATGAGAAGAAGCTGAGAAGCAATTCGAATAGGTTCATGACTTCTCCCAATCCTCAACATTGTCTGTCATCTCGTCCTTCAGGTTCTACATTCAGAAATAGTAGACAACAAAGATCTGTTCCTCCTCCATCCACATCTTTATTCCAATGTTCTTTACCCTCAACCATGAAGCTTTAATGGCAATTGGATATTGAAACTTGCATAGGATTGATTATAGATTGAAAAAAGACAGAACAATAGATGGGGCAAAATCGCAAATTTTGGTACAATCTCTCCACCCAAAGGGAAGGTCGAGAGTTCGAGCCACGCTGGTGGCATTTTATAGGTGTGGCTGTTTGCTTATCTGGTTCTGCTCATCCTTTTTGAATCAAAGCAGAAACAGATATGTGGAAATTGATTCCATGTTTATGTTTATGTAAAGTGCTATGTATTTGAAATTTTTGAATGAACAATGCATGTTATGTTTATGTAAAGTGTTATCTATTTGAAATTTTTGAATAAACAATTAATGTTCTTCCTTTGTTGAATTAACAATCTCTGACTTTATATATATATATATATATATATATAAACACGCTATATACACACACAATTGGTGATGATTGGTGGAGGCTGCTTTCACCTATCTTGAAAACAGGGGAATTTCTAACCTCTTTACTCCCATATATTGAACTAGTCTAAACCTCGTTTAGCTTGGTGGAATGTAGACATGGTATGTGTGGGTTGGATGTGGGGTTTGTAGTTGCTTTATCTATCATTATTGAGAGGGAGATGTTTTGTCTATTTTGTAAAAGATGCTTTGATGGTTTGATAAGCCTCCCACCACCCACTACCCATTCAATTTTGGTGTCGGCTTGAGACCAATATGATCTGATCTTCTTTTCACCATGTGATTGGTCTATTCATCTAAAGTAGATCAGGGCACCAAATGACCCAAAACACAGCTCAATCTGATGCTTCTTGTTAGTGTTCAAATTCAATGAGTTTCTTTGCACTGTGCAAAGATATTGATATTACGTTTGGAATCACCGAATCGACACTTTGAATTTAAAGTTGAAGGGTTCGTTAATCCAATTTCAAATCAAAAGTTTAAATATTTGACTGTTAGTCGATTGACAAGAATGTATCTTACCGATCTCAAATAGTTTGGACAAGAAATGAAAGATATTGATTTTATATTCGACAAATTTTACAATTGTGACTTTTTAGTGTTCAAATTCAATGAGTTTCTTTGCACTGTGGAAAGATATTGATGTTAGGTTTGGAATCACCAAATCGACACTTTGTATTTGAAGCTGGAGATTCGTTCATCCAATTTCAAATCTGAAGTTTAGATATTTGATTGTTAATCGATTGATAAAATTGTATCTTACCGATCTCAAATAGTTTGGACAAAAACATAAAAGATATTGATTTCATATTCGACAAATTTTATGATAGTGACTTTGTAGTTTATATGGTGAACAAAAAAATAACTAAATTAGGGTTGAAAAACCTTAGTTGATAGTGATGGATGGTCCAAACCATGGGAATGGGATCAAAGATGTGAGTAGTATGGACACTAAGAAATTCACAGATCATCTCTTGGTTCCGGTCAAACAATACAATTCAAAGTATAACTTGGGCCTACCATCAATTGGGCCTACCATGAAGTCTGAGCCAATGGTTAAAAACCAAATTGTATAATAAACCTACACCAACTTGAATGTGGGTCCGTCAAATGGAGGGTAAATTATGATAATTATTAATTATCGATCTCTCCAATGGTATAAACGTGGCACAAATTACAATTATACCCCTCTATGGCATAGGGGTGGAGAAGAGAGGGAGGAGATAGAAGGCTCAGAACACCGAAGCTCTGCCGGATATTCAAAGCTCTGAAGGAAGAGAATAACAAGCTCTCATTGAAGGATTGTTTCTATGGAAATTAATGTTTGTCTACTATTTCCTTTCTCTTGTTTCAAGACTCGAAATTTGCGTGTACAAGTAGCTTAATGCAATTGACATATGGCATGCCATTTTCTTGTCTAACTATTTTAGCACTAGATGGCATTGCCAACAGATGCATCAGTAGTATGAACTTCCTAATGGTGTTTCAAAACTGGCCTTTAGGACCCAGGGTCCTATCCGATCCGATCCGTTTTAATATTTCGGGTCAACGCACAGTCAAAATCCGATAGAATTGTGACATGAATCCCTTAGGTTGGAGGGCCTGGAAGTCCCGGTCCCAAATGAGCAACATTTAGTTTCCCACTTGCACCCCCCGGATTTACGTTGTAAAGTGTAAAAAAACATGGATGGAGCGGAATGACCAAACTAGGCACTTCTCATTTAGTTGAAGACTTCTTATGCATTATACTAAAGAGATGAATTGGTTCCCCATGTGATTTATTTTGACCAACAATCTAAATTTAAAAACTGCTTTAGACTAAAAGTCGGTAAGAGTGGTAGAACCTTCTGCTTCAGTTATATCTTATGCAAAGAAATTTGGTTGGAGTGGTAGAACCTTCTGCTTCAATTACTACTTCTGCAAAGAAAAATGCTTTTAAGACTGATTTGTTTGACTTTGATCCATCATTTTTTATCGGTCATGCTTACAAGAGGAAAGTGGAGTTTTACTTTCTTAGATTTTGCAGGTATGATCAAGAAAAAGTTATCGGTGAAGTAATTCTATATAAATAACAAATCGAACTAGATAGCATTACTTTGATGGAAGGTTGGTAAGGGTATTAGTTCACTCAATTTGCTTTCAAGAGCCAATAAATAGATTAGTCTCTTTTGTTCAACCTCCTTAATGCGTACATATTTGACAATAGAATTCGGATTCTCTTACATTTGCTTATGCAACACCAATAAGTTTTTCATGTATATATTACACCACGATGTAATTAATCTGTTGCACTGGTGATATAATTTAAGATCAATCTTAACAATTATGCACTTAGCATCTAACCTATTTTGGGATATTGAGCCGGATACGGATCTTCTCATTGGGACAACTCTCTCCAGCTCTCTTCAAAATTAATCTGAAGGTTAATATAAAAACATGTGATTCATTAATTGTCACATCTCCCTTCCCCTCTTTCTCTCTCCTCTCAACTTCTCTGTAATGCTATGTTCGGTAGAAAGGAATAAAGAGGGGTGGAAGGAAAATAGGAAGGAATGAACAAATTTTCTTCGTTTGATAGAGATGATATAAGGAAAGAAATGATAATATGAAGAATGAATCATCATTCATCCTTCACAAATTTCTATCCGCCCAAATATGTGCTAACACCTTCACAAATTTTCATCCACCAAAATATGGGCCAAAGATAAAAGATAAACAAGTAAGCCTATTATAGAAGTTTTAAATTACTACATTACCCTTCATAAATATTTAATAAATCCCATAAATAAAGTAATGGATGGGTTTAATAGTAAAAACAACTTAATTTATCTTTCCTTTTCTCCTACCAATCAAATTAAATTGTTAGTTTTTTTCATTCTCTTCTATGCATCCAACCGAACAAAAAGAGGGAAACATTAATATCTTCCCTAGAGATGTATCAGTTATCCTTTCTTTTCTCCCTTCCATTTAATTTTTTTCTTTCAAGGAAGCATAAATCTTAGATACTTCCCTAGGGATGTATCAGTTATCCTTTCTTCTCTCCCTTTCATTCAATTTTTTTCCTTCCTATTAAATAAAGAATAAATCTTAGATACTCAGACCAAATTTCTCTTCCCTTTTCAGTAACTTTCATACCCAAATTTTGCTTGCCGAAACCGCCAGCTTGTAATATATACACACATATATAATTAAAAGAAAAGAATGATTAATTCTGGAAATGAAAAATAAAAAAATTAATGAATGGAGTCTTGAAACCAACAATTGAGGTTTTAGGTTTTGCTCAGTTCACCAAGAAATAATCATAAATATATGTTGAGTTTAAAAAAAGAAAATCAAAACAAATTAATAAACTAAGAAATCAATCAAGGAATCCATTGGGTCTCTTTAAAAATTAATTAAGGTTTTAGATTTGATAAATGTATTGGCATCACGAGTTTCGGAGGCGTGGCTTTCATGTCTACAACTCAATTCATCATTCATTATTTTTTTATTTTTTTTATTTAAAGAATTAATCATTTTTTTCTTTTATTTATATGTGTATATAATACGTTTAGTATTAGTTTCTGGAAAGCAAAATTTGGGTATGAAAGTTACTAAAAGTGGAAGAGAAAATTTTAGTCTTAATATCTCAAATTTAAAGAGAGAGATAGAGAGAAAGGTTGAGACGAGAGAGAAAGATAGATAGAAAGGGAGATGTGGCAAATGATTATGCCTTAATGAATTACATGTTGGAGAGACTATGAGAGAGATATCTCAAGAGAGGAACCGTTTCGATATTGAGCCATCATTCAAAGGTACTGTTTAGACAATTGATCTTATTGCATCATTCAAATGTACGGATTAGATTATTGATCTCATTGAATCTTTTACATCCGGGAAAGAGAAACTGCATTTAATTATGAGAAATCACAACTTTAGAAAGATGAACAAATTAATTAAGTGAAAAAGAGCAATTAACACTTCTCTTTTGCTACATCTTTTACATGTTTGATTACAACATATATATATTCAAATCAAAAAATTAAATCAAACACAAAGAGAATTGAGAGAGAGAGAGGAAAACAACATGATTGTTAGATGTATGTCCTATAAACAAAATCAGAATGCATGGGTTAGTAAGAGTAACAAATATTATATATTACAATTGGTAGATATGAAGTCTTATAATCTTTAGCTTTTCCGAGCATACACCATCAAAGAAAACTCAGAAGGCCCTTTCAGCTTATTCTCTTCCATACTTTCCCACTGCATCACAGAACTACAACCTGGTGATTCCGACGACGACGAGATCTTTGCAGTCTTCAAGAAGCTCTTTTTCTTTTTCTTTTCAATTCCAAACTCACATGATTCTTGTGACAACAAAAGCATCCCATTCTTTTGATCATTCAAATGAGGCAACATCTCATCTTCAAACCCTAATTTTTCAAACCTGAACATGAACAGGGCATACCCATCTTGATCACCATGATCCTTGAACAACCAGTTGTATACATCCCATGAGACCTGTATGCGAACACCATCAACTTCAATCATCCCATTCCCTCTAAACTTCCACTTCAAATGATTAACCTGCAATACCCTTTTGTTATCAACACTGAAACACAGACTTGGATCATCGCCAACCCTACAATCTATAGATATATCTCTCGTTTTCCCTCCAAAACTAGCTTTTGTGGTGTGCACTTTGTTTCCATGCACATGTTCTCTTCTTAGAACCATAGCTTGGCCTCTCCGAGGCTTTGCTGCTGTGGTTTTGGAATAAGCTTTGTCTAGAGAGTCTCCGACGAGGAGAACCATTTCTCCGTTCACAACAACGGCGATGTAGAACCCGGATAGGGGATCCGGACGTGACCCAAATTTGGCACTTGTAAGATCCCAAAATATTTGGATACTATTGGTTGTGGTGGATTTGAAATTCATTTTTTGGGATCCATGTTTGTTCCAAAAGATGAAGGGCTTGATGTGGAGATGGAAAGAAGGATTAGAGAAGTTTTCGTTGCGGTGCGTGTCAGCGGCGGAAGGGCTCTTAAGGAGGAGTTGGAGGTGGAGGGAATGGCTGAAGCGGTGTCGGGACCAGGTAAGGGCAAAGAGGCCAAAGTCAGTTTGGTAGAAGGAGGTTGAGAGATTGCGATTGGCGGAGACACGTGGTGCCACCGTGGAGTGGTGTTTGGCGGCGGAGGTGGTGATGGTACCAGTGTTGGTGTGGGAGCAATACATATCTTGGGTTTGTGTTAATTTTGGGAGGAGAGAAGAGTTTTTAAGGGAGGGGGAGAGAATGTAAATGTTGACAATGTTGCAAATATTCGTAAAGAGCAAGCGCAAAAAAGACGGATTAAATAGGGCTATACAAATAATAGATATATACTGTGTATCACATAAATTTGAACATTAGACTCTTTCAGGTCAAAATTCAAATCCAACTTTCTTAACATATGAATCTCGACCCCCTCCATTCCAGGGATTCTGTGCCTACGTGTTGCACGAGATTATGTTGCATAAGATTCAATAGAAGTAAATGTATTTGAATTGTATTTTCTAAGGAACATAAATTTTATCACTAAACCAATTCTTTGGGATTAGGAATGATATTTATTCGTTCCTTTGATGTGAAATATATTTAAATTTATCAACTATATCTAATGTATAGAAATTCCATCCATCAGTTATGGTCATCGATTAAACAAATTGGTATATCTATAACTGTGGTGTGTACATTTTCTAACTTTTAGGTACTGTATGATAAAAATTACTCTCTCCATGTATATTAGTTTAGCAAAAAAACTCATACCGATATGAGTATTTTAATCCATGGTTTGTAGTTGCGGTATTGGTAACGGTTGAGGTGTGACGAATTCAGACAAATATTAATATAAATTTGCCGGTTCATGGGGGTGTTTGACGGTAATGGTTCCTAGAAAAAGGATTACAAGCCTAGCGAAACTTTTTTTTTTTTGGAGGGAGGGAAGATGTTGACAAAATAGATAATTTTTCAATAATTTTTTTTTTTTTTTTTTTTACAGGTTTTTTCATTTCAAAAGAGATAATATTTTTAATGGTTACTTTTTATTTTTTGGTCCCGTAAAAAACAAATTATTCAATTTTTTTTTTTTTTTTGTCAAAAGAGACCTAAAATATTAAAGATTAGAAATAAATAGAGAAAATCTAAAAAAAAACGATTGTGTCATCTAAAAAGTAATAATTATTTACTTGTAAAGTTAGTGTTATAATTACCATTTCATTTAAAATTATAATGCAAATGTTAAAAAGTGAAATACGAATACAAGTTATAGCCTCCCTAATTAATTTAACTATTTAACTCTAAATAAGTCAATAAAATTGGTCAGATTTTAGAAATAGGTAGTTGACTTTTTCAAAGAAGACTGAAATTGGTTTAGTTTGGGCACCATGCTTGAATTGATTAGATTTGAAAGTGTCTATAACTGTTGAATCATTAGAATTTTCCGGCAATTAAACAATATATATAGAAAACGTGTTTAAATTAATGGTAACACCAATAGTATTATATAATATAATTAAGAATCTACATAAGGTTGCAACATAATGTAATAATACTTTAACTTGGGATATATATAAATGAAGGGCCAATAAATATAACATGGTTTTGAATCTTTAGTCCTAGTTCTCATCTCTTTTGGATGGATCATAAGAGGTTAATTAACTTTATTACGAGTTGAATATATTGATTTTGACCACTTAATTAATGGGTCACTATCCTAGTGGGGTGTATCATGTATGGAAATAATATAGGCCAAGGGGACCATGTTTAAACAACTAATGAACAACCATGACCCATTGCTTTGGTTGCATTTACACACCACACACACACACACACATATATCTATATATATATATATATAATGGATCGATTATTAGTTACATTGAAGTACATACAAGTCAAGAAAATGGAGTAATAATCTACTACGTGTTGAAGGAAATAAACTTAGACTTGAAAGTCTGACAAGTCCCAACGTAACGCAGCCACTACATGCACTCTTTGAACGTTGATCAAAATTCTTCGTCTGTCCACTAATCAACGTTACAAAAATATACTAGTATAAACTAACAGTCTCATATCTAAACATTTGTAAATATACAATCTCTAATCTCTTGATATGTATGTTCCATTCATCGGTCAATATAAGATGTATCAATAACAGGACGGTCTTGAGATTCTCAAAATTTTAAAAGGTCCTAAGTGAACTTCCAAATGCGAGGCCATTATATACAAAATTTCAAGTGCAAAAAAAAATTTATAAGTGTGCGAAATTTTCATTAAAATGAATTATAAGCACCAAAGGCAGGTCGAAATAATTTGGAGCATTAAGCGAATTTTTTTTTTTATAAGTTTGCTGAATTTTTTTGTTTTTTGAGGCACGGATGTACTGTGGGCTTAGTGAGGGAGGCATCCGCCCCGACTGAAATTTTTTATTATTGCATTTTGCACCCCTAAATTTGTGTTTTTTTTTTTTTTTTTTTTTTTTTTTTGCATTTATATCTATAAAATTTTAAAATTGCCCCCACTAAAATTATAAAAAAAATCCCTCTATATAAATTTGCTCTCCCTCATATGAATTTCTAAATCCGTCCCTCGTTATTCCTCTCCCAACTAAGACCATCCACGGAGGAAGGAAGGACTGCCACAACGTTCTCTTCTAGTTCTTTCTCGACTGAGACTTTGATTTTTCACACAGTTCAATTTCATCACGTTTATTTTAAGAGTTTACGATTAAAGAACTTCACCACTTTAAATTTCAGTGTTTAAAATGGTCAATTTTTTTTACTTTAGATTGGTGAAATTTTACTATTAACAAATAAACAGCTAAATTGGTAATCAGAGGGTCTATTTGACTAATTTAGCTGTCTATTTGTTACAATCAAAGTGATAGACAAAATTTAGTCCCCCACCATGTGCTAAGACCGTGCAGAGCGGTGACGCATCTCCAGATTTCTCTCATATATGTCACACCCAATTTTATGTTCCTAATTTTGTTAATTTCTTTTGGTGCAAAATATCTTTACTTTTCCAAATTCATTGTTAATTAAATCTATCAAGATTGGAAAATTATTTGCCAGACAAATTTTGATTTCTTAAATCAATTGAAGTGACAAAATTTTCGCCAATATAGCCCCAAAAAAAATTACAAGGTAGAAGGCCGGGGTCAAACCTTGCATCTGCTTTTGTATATATATATATATATATATGCATTGTGTGCCATTTTAGAGAAAATAATTGCGATGACAAATAAATTTATAAAGTCTTACCAAGTATTCAATAATAAAATGACACATAGTGGTTAGCCGAAAGACAAAATTGACTAGGCAAAATTGACTAATGACCAATAAGTTCCACTAAAGTTGAAAAACCCTCTCATGAAACACATACTCAAAACGGATTGATATGTGTGTGTGTGTTTTGTTTTCCTTTAATTTCTTTTCTTTATTTTTGTTTTTGTGTCTTTCTTTGTGGCTTTTGGTTTTGGATCAACTAAATAATCTCAATATGAAATTTGTGATTTATTTTTGGGTGAATTGCATAAAACTAAACCTCCTCTTCTACATTAATTTGTCAAAAAAATTAAAAAAAACCCTCCAACTAATCGAGGGAGTTAACTTTTGGTTTTTTTTTTTTTTTTTCGGAACTTTTAATTAAATTTATACAATTGTGCAAATTGCATAAAAGGTACCTCTCTAGACTTGGTAGAGATATTTTTTATAGTAAGTCAAAAGTAACCCCTTCCCCTTCCCATTCCCCTTCCCCTTCCCCCTATGCTAGTTGGAGGGGAGTTTTTTTAAAAAGAAAAAATAAATAAATAATAAGGGTGATTTACTACAAAAATCTACAAGTTAAGAGAGTTTAATGTAATTTAGCCATTTTTATAAACTTCCAGAGATAAATTTTTACTATTACAAATTTCAAGAGGTGTAAGATTGTGACTTCCCTCTTATAAGAACAGTCAAGAACTCTCACTGTTTAGTCATTGGATGCAACAATTTTTAACATATGTGAAAAGTCATTTAAAAATAGAAGAACTCATAACTCTTCTCACGAAAAGGATCTCTTAGGTAGGGATAACAATTTGACTTGCGGGGAAAAGTATCCGCCCCGCTTATAGTGGTTTTAGGGGACCGTTTAGCTTATTTGAACGGGAATAATTTTTATTAATGAAAATTCGCGTAGATTCGAAGTGGGAGAGATCACTCCGTCCCATTTAGATAGGTAAATTATTAAATTATTCTTATTTTATTAGTATATATGGTTGGTTATAGAAATCTTAAGTCATATTCACTCCCTTTTTCAACCATTTTAAGTAGAACCTTACAAACTAAGGACACTCATACACTTAAATTTTATGTTAAATTAACTGATTACCCATTTTTTATGAATTTTTTTAATAATTATATTTGAGGGAAAAAAATTAAAAAATGAGGAAAAATTTTGGAACTAAACGGAGCGAAACAGGTGCCGTTGGGGGTGAAAAGGTTAAATGAGGCGTGGATGAGGTGTAAAGACCCCGTTTAGGCAGTTATGGGCAGAAACGAGACGACAATTTCTAAACAATTACGAGAGTTGGAGAGAGTATATCTGCCCAAAACCACCCCCTTACCATCCCTACTCATGGGAGTATTACTCTTTAAAATATTATTTAATCAAAAAAGATAGAAATCTATAGTACTGGAAGATAGAAATGTATAAAATGGGGCCTTGCAAACCCAATATATGTTTTAAGTTGGGTTAAATTTTGAACCCAAGCGTTTGGATTGAGTCGAGAGAAGGCTACTATATATGTAACACGTTTTAGGATAAGCTGACCAGTCTTGGCCCAATATGCAGGCTTACTTCACAAGACTCAAATCTGTAGTACAAACCACAACTCATTCTACTTAATTTTTTACCTTTTGAACCAAGAGTAATGATATACGGTATAAGACTCTGACAAATTAGACTAAAATTATATAGGTAAGAAATGACGTTACGATGATATTATTAATAAGTAAGAAATGACGTTACGATCATATTATTAATCTTTAATGATGTCATCCATCATTTACCGTATCATTCATTATTAGAACCAACAATAGAATGACTTAAGATGTTAGAATTTGAACCCTACAGCTTTGCCAAATGTTAGATAACTAACAAAATTCTCATCAAGTTTAGGGAAAGAGAGAGCACTTGCCTTAAAGAGTCCAGAAAT